GTGAAGCATTTACATTGTTTTGAGAAGTGGAAACACCAGAAAAAGTACTGAAGCTACACAAAATCAGGGCTGTGGAATCGGGCAGATTTTGGGGTCGGAGCTGGAGTCACTGAAAACAGGCCGACTCCGACTCCAGTTTTTATTGGACAGTTCAAATTTGAAATGAAATTTAAATGAATTGAAAATAATTAATGACAAGCTCAGTTATTATTTTTATTTATGAACTGTATACATTAATATATAGTTATTTTCTATTTTATTGACCTATTAATAAATAAATATAAGGATGGATGTGATATTTGCTATTAGTGATTAAACTGATTCATTTAGTTACAAATCTCACTGATAAATTTAGGTAAGCTGCAATAGCAGCAAGAAGTTGATGCCATTCTTAGGAAGCGAGCAGGAAAAGGAGCAATTATTGATCAAGTAATGCATTAAGGAAGTACTACATATTTGATGATAAAAAGGTTTTTAGAATTTAGAACTTAAGACTGTGCAATGATCTTGCAGAATTCGAAACTCTTCTTTCTATAATGTATATAGCCACAAAAAAGCTACAATCTGAAGAAATGACAGGAGGCGAGAATGGGATGTTTGTTCTTTCTGAAATGGAGGGTTTACTGCAGAAGGAATCATTTCTTCAATAAAGAAAAGAGAAACTTGTTTGCTAGACATTGAGATTTTGCTTTGTTTAATATATGGAGATCCAAAACACCAAAATTTTTTTCGATGATGAACAAATTAAAAAGGCAAAGAAAGTCATCTATGAACTTTAATTAAGAATGAAATTATTCTTGGAACAATTGCAGAATTCGAATCAGGACAGTCATACTGCAGACATTGCTATTGAGTCTCTATCATCCTTTTCCATTGATGAATTAGATTTTGAGAAATATTTTTGGATAATATTGAAAAGGCTAAGGCAAAGCGAATGAAAATGAAAAACAAAAGCCTTTAGATTACAAAAATGAAAAAAATACAAACAGGATTTCTACACAGCCTCTGAAGAAATAGAGAAATATGATTGCGCATGCAAGACACCTCTTTTAGAATTTCTAAAAATCTGTCCTGAAAAGTTAAAAGAAGCAGCCCTAACAGTAACAGCTCTTCCTTCTACTCAAGTCTGAAGTTTATCAAATCGAATCTATGGCCATCCAACAAAGAAAATCTTGCCGAAGCTATACTGCTTCTTAGAAATAACTAATGCCAGTTTTTCCATTTCACAATAAATGCTAATATAAATAATTTGCTATGCAAACAATTGTTTTTCTGTAGCATATATTACTTCTTTTATATTAAAAATAAAAGCTGTAACCCATATGTATATGTTTAAATACATATATATATATGAGGGAGTCGGAGTCATTAAAATTCCAGGAGTCAGAGTCAGTCATTTTTCCTATTGACTCCACAGCCCTGCACAAAACCACTGACAATAAAAGTATTGTCAGTGGTATGGAAATTGGGAAGGAAAGATACCTTACATTGATAATTTGATATAGCATTGTTTCTAGCTAAGCAGGATTTTGCATTTTATGGTCATAGGGAAGATGAATTTTCATCTAATAAGGGAAATTTTCTAGAAATGCTCTCAAAATATGATCTGGTGTTGAAAGAAAACCTAATGAGATTAAAGAGTAGCATGCGTAAGCTTAAACATTCAGTCTTACATCTAGCATTGAAACTTAAAATGAATTTATGTCTCCAAGCAAATCATGTGAAGGAAAAACTTATCAAAGATCTAAAATCTGTTACATAATGTTTGAGAATACACCAGAAATATCACATGCCAATCAAATGTCCAAAGTGATTAGATATATAAAAATTAACAAGGAAAAGATGAAGTAGTAGAGGTATTTTTAGGATTTTTTCAGGTCTCCAAACAAGATTTTCATCATATCACTGTGTTTTTTTCGGGGAAGGGGGGCACTAAAAAGGTATTTTGCCCCGGGACACCAGTTATGCTCGCTACTCCACTGTATGATAATGCTACCACTATGGCTGCAGTATATAGAGAAGTATAAGATTTTCTTAAGGCAAAAATAAAAAACCGTTTTTAATGGATGCGTGAATAATTCAGTTAATTTGTGCAGTCACCATTCTTTTATAGAAAATGATTAATGCATATAATTTTTTGGAATACTTCAATCTATGTATTCTTTATGTTGCTTTTGCACATCGATGGAATGTGTTAATAACACATACTGAATCATCATTGAAAAGACTATCAACAACGCTCATTACTCTGTTAAGCCAGTAAAAAGAAAAAAATTCAATAACTTTATAGTGGCTATTGAAAATCTTTGCAGCAGCCCAAGGTCTTTGATCAGCAATTTGTGATTTTTTTAAGCTACCGACCAGTTCTTGGTGTAATATACTCAAGAAGTGAACAAAACACAGGAATACCAGTAAGCCAAAGGAATAACACTTGATAAAGTGGATACAAAGTTAACAGCATTAAGACTTTTTCTTCATGAGAAGCGAAATAATCTAGTAGAAAATGCACTTAAATAGGAAGTAATAAAATCAAACAAATAATGAAATTACAATAGAGAGAAGAGCAAGGTTCAAGGACGTCAGGAGAACAGGCAATGGATGACAGACCTACTCTGTAAGAAGAAAATAAAATGGCAATGTTTGAATGCATCGGTCATTTTCCTTCTAAACTCCAAATAAGGATATGAGTCATTAACAAAACAGTAGATATAGTGTCTCACAAAAATGACCGGACACTGTCATTTTTTTGGATAATAGGAGAAAAGCTTTGAAATAAAATAATAAGGACTATTTTTTCTTTGAATACACATTTTCTTAGCTCTCTTTTTGTGCTAAATAAATTTGAAAAAATTAAACAGTAAATTTTAAAAATAATGTTTTAAGATGAAATGGGGAAAAAAGGATATCACGAACTTAATCGGACATTTTCAGAATTTCTAATTAAAATCATCTGGAATGAATAAAAAGCAAACTTTCATGTAATTAGTTTGGATAAAGAAACTAAACAACAATCCAAAAATTGTTTGCTTTTATAATTTGAATTTTCTTCTTGAAGAAGATTCATTATTTTAATGTTTTCTTACTATGGCTTGCTCATGAAGGAAAACATCGTTAGAAACCCGTAGATTAGTTATTGATTTGTATGAGAAGAAAGGGAAACCTATTAGAAAAATGGCCAATTTACTTAGTTTAAGTAATTCTACAGTTTTTGATATTATTAAGCATTACAAGAAAAGGTATTCAAAACAAAAGAAGACAGACTCTGGAAGATCATCTAAGTTATCTGATGAAATGAAAAACTTTATCCTAAGGTATATTAAAAGGATTCCAAGAATAAGTGCTCCTAAACATGTTGCAAAACTACATGAATTATATGGACATTTGTAAATCAAAAAATTGTAAGAAGAGTAATGCAATCTGCAAGATATTAATGGCAAGTAGCAAGAAGAAAAAAAAAAAAAAATATGTCAGTAAAAACAACCAAAAACTTCAACTCTCTTTCGAAAAATCGATGATGAAACAAAAGATTGCTGGGAAAATGTATCGTTTCTTAATGAAAGCAAATTTAATATCTTTGGCTCATATGGGCAAGTGCTGGTGTGGAGAAAAACAAAACAAAACAAACAAAAAAAAAAAAAAAATTTTGGAAACAAAACTTTGTACCAACTGTAGGCCGAGAAGGAGTTATGATATGGTGATCTATGGAGTTGGTAATATAGAGTCTATACGTGGTATCATGGATCAATATAAGTAGCTTGACATCTTGAAGTGAAATTTGACATTGTCAACACAAAACTTAATATACAAAATAGTTTTAAATTCTACCAGGACAATTATACAAAGCATAGTGTGCATAATATTAGACTCCGGCTGTTACATGAGTGCCCAGAAACAATTCAGGTAACACACCAATCGGCAAATCTTAATCCTATTAAACATATTTGGCAGGAGCTAGAATTAAAAATTCAAAAACACAGCATATCTTCTTGGCAACAGCTAAAAGTAGTGATTCAAGAGAAATTGAATAAAATAAGTCCCCCCCCCAAAAAAAAAAAACTTACTTGTGGAGTCAATACCCAAAAGATTAAATAAAGTGATAAAGTGTAAAGGTAATACCACAAAATATTAAGGAGGAAAAACAATGCAAGTTTTTGTCCTTTTTGGCCATTACTAAAAGCATCCGATTATTTTTTTTAGAATAATTTTTATCATTTAACAAATAATATTGATTTTTGAATTTAATTTTCATTTTTTAAAAAAAACGTATTTACTATAAAAAGAATGTTGAATTTATATATAATCAAAATAAAACGCTTTCTTTTTGTTTTAATTTATTTTAGTCATTATGCTCATTAAAGTATACAAAAATTCAAAGTATCCTAGCATTTGTATGAGCCACTATTATGTTTAAGGCTGTTCAATCAGTCTCATGAGCTCTCAAATACCTCTCACTTATACCAGTGAAGAGTTAAAGGTATCCATCTCAAAACTAATAATTTTTTATGATGAACTACCAGAGTGAGCTTTTAACAGAACACAATAACTGAGAAGGCATCTTAAAGCAGCAACGATTGACCTGGAAGATGCTAGAGATTGGGCATAGTTATGCGTTTTGAATTTTATAGCTGAATGGGACTTTCTAGAACAGTGACTCTTTATCTTTTTTTTTTTTTTTTTTTTTGCCCCATACGCTACTTTAACTATTGATAGATGATCACTTCTCCCTCTCCTTTCCAAAACTTGAAAAAAAAAATATAAATTTATTTAAATTTTGAGTGTTTTATAAATAAAGAATAAAAAATAAAACTAATTATATTTAGAATTGCCATCCATTTGGCGATGGTTCGTGATATGTTGTTTAAATAATGGGGGGGGGGATAATTATAAAGGAAGTACCACATTTTTTAAAAGTATAATTTAACATAAGGAGTTTACTTTGAAAACAAAAATTATAGTGTCCAGTAAAACTTCAACATTTTGAACAAAAGTTTCAGTCTTAAAATGTTTCAGTTGGTCTACATACATATCACATAAAATTATAGCAAAATCTGAATGCACACAATTATTAAATTATTATATTTTATTAGTTTTCATACTCATAAGACAATTTTCTTTAATTACATATAATTCATTAATTAGGTTTCATTATTACAAGAAAATTTTATATATACATATATGTTATGGTCAAAGCTCAAAGTATGACCAGTTATTCTAATTATTGGAAATGACTTAGTTATTTTTTTAGACTTTAGTTAGCCATTTCACAAACTGGCCAAAATTTGATATGCTGATTTAAAATGGTTCATTACACGGCACTTGTATCACTTCCGATTTGATAGTGATATGTCTGTGGTAACAAAAAAGATTCACATTGTGATGACAATGACGACATTCTTCTGCTGCTTTTCATGAGAGGTCATCCTTCTTATCTGACACATGTGCTTCTTCTGAATACTTGCATTCCTTACATATATACAGTATCAGTTACACTCAAACTTTACAATGTTTAAAAATTCACAAGACTAGTAAAAGTTGGAGATAATGTATGTATTCATACACCGGATGTTGACAGTGATCAGGATGATCCAAGAAACATTCTTGCATTTGTCATGAATTTCGAGAAGCATTCTACATGTTATTTCAGAAGCAAGTTCTCTATTCTGCATGAGAAACTGCCCACACAGGAATCCGTAGATGGTGAAGAAAAATCCCTACGAACCATCACATCTTCCTAATCATTAATAGACAATCAAGGCTACAGTTGACAATGATACATAGTGTGCAACAAATCACTGCAAATGCAGAAATAAGAAAATATTGTACTATTCAAAATGTCACAAAAGTTCATTTTCTTGCAACAAGTGATGATAATAAATAAAGAATAAATAAATAAATTTAATATCGCCTTTTTTTTTCTTTCGACTTTGGTCGACTATAAATATATACATATATATAAACACACACACACATAAATATCCCATTTTTAATGGATAATGCTTCAACAATTTCTTGCTTTTAATTTTTCTTACTATTATTTAAAAGTCCAAACTTTCTTTTGACCAAAAAAGGTACTTTTGAATTTTGATAGTGATATAATTTAAGTATATCTTCCTTCGATTTTTCCAAAATTTCACTTTTTGTTACAATTTTCATCTTAGTCTTTGTTGATTCACCTACAGCGTTTGTTTGCCCAATTTGGTTGCCAATATTGTCTGGAAAAATATCATCGGCTTTTGGCATATATCCGATTTCTGGGAATGGACTTCTGAATTGTTCTGAAGAAGATACTCCTAAAGTATCAGCAGTAAAATCGCAAGGAAATTTAAAAGAAGTCCGTGATCTTTTAGATCTGTCTTGACTCTCGATGTAATAGTTTACAAATGATTGTTTTAATTTATTTAAAGTAGTTATTTGTTTTTGTTCATATTCATTAAATGAATCTTTCAGAGTATTAGGCAAAATATTATAAAATAAACTGTTGGTTTCTGTTAAGTCTCTGGAAGTACCATCCAGTTCATTGGTTTGTACAGATGCATTTCTTGATAAAGAGCGTTTTCTAGAAGTACATGCGAGTTCTAGTTTTTCAGAACTTTTTTCCTGAATTTCAATACTAGATTCTGCTGTCTTCAGAGAAATTTCATTCATTAGAACCTGAGCTGATTCAGATATATTCTTCTGAAAAGTATGCTTTTCAGAATGATGTCTAGCATCTCTACCAGGAGATGCATTCCTTGATGAAGAACATTTCCTAGAAGTACATGCTAGTGTTAATTTTTCAGAACTTTTTCCTTTAGTTTCACACATTATCTTCTCAGAAATTTCATTCATATGAGATTGAGCTGGTTCAGACATATCCTTCTGAAAAGTCTGTTTTTCAGAACTATGTCTAGAATCTTGATGAGAGGATGGATTCTGTGATGAGGAACGTTTTCTAGAAGCACATACTGATGCTAGTTTTTCAGTACTACTTCTCTGAATTTTACATTTTGTCGTCTTCTGAGCCGTTTCATTTATATGCACTTGAGCTGACTTAGAAATATCTTTTTGTAAAGTCTGTTTTCCAAGATTATGTCTTGAATTTTGACTAGAGGAATGATCTTTCTCACCATGAAGTTTTCTTTCATCACATTTTGAGTCTCTTTGTTTATCTTGAAGAGAAGAAATATTATTATCTGAGTGAGTTGGCTGTGTAGAGCTTTTATGGTGATGATCTTTCCTTTTCTCTGCATTTTCATGTTTGGTATCCTTTCTTGAATCTGTTATAAAAACAACAACAACAAATAAAATAAAATAAATGACAAAACAAAGTATAATTGATCACAATATCTTGCACTGTAATAGCTGCCAACCTTCAAATATGAAAAACTCAAAGATTTTTACATAGCACTGCAATGCAACTTCAAAATGATTCCAAACTGACAAATTTGACTTCAGATCTCTTTACAATGCATTTTTCAAATTATTAAACAGATAATATTATTACCTGATATAATATATTCTGATAAATAATAGCTTTATTTAATTTAATATTCTAAATTTTTATTTTACTTCCATGTTTTTTGGCTAAATTCATTTGATTTTGCCATTTTCTTAAAACTTGATATTGATAAGTAAAGTAAAAAAAAAGCTTTCATTTATCAAAGTGCTTTAAAAAAATAGCAATTAACGTGCATATAATCATGTACACCATTTAAAAATGTAAAGCAAAATTAAATACTAATACAGTCAAAAGTCGTTAATCCGGACTCGTCGGGACTTCGGCCATTCCGGATTATAGATCATCAGTTTAAATCTGGTAAGATGGCATGCAGAAATTATAAAATTAAAAATATGAAACCGTAATTTATGAAATAAAGAGCAATTATGATCTAAATGGTATCAAAGTTTACAAAAAAAAAAAAAAAAAAAAAAAAAAAAAAAAAAAAAAAAACTTAATTTATTTGTTTATTTTATTAAACATTTCTTTCAATGTAAGTTGTTTAAGTTGCTTTGTTTTATGTGATAATACTTTCTCTTTAATTCTATAAACAGACATAATTTCTTGTTCAGTTACAAAGTTCTGCCTATAATTGTTCAAGTCCTATAATTGCTGTGTCGAGAATACCGACTAATTTGTCAATCGAAACTTTTTCATTTTCAATAACCTCTGTGTCACTTTCTTCACTATCGGAAGCGAATTATAATGACGAGGAATATGATTTAAATCATATCAAAGACTGAGTACATCGAGATGAAATACTACATTTAGTAAGGAATTATAAGCAAAATAAAATAAAATCATCTGCCCTGAAGATAAGGATAGTGCTGACAGATCAACTTCCAATTCATTGCGTGCTGCGATGCCCCCCCCCCACACACAGAGCAGCATGAAACTGATAAACAGATTTCGGAATGGTTAGATAATCAAAGGATATGCCTTTATCCATTTTTTGCAGCAATTCCACTTTCTGTTTAATGGAATTCCAAACATACTTTCACTTTGTGGATCCTTTACATATTAGTAAATATACATCGGAAATTCTATTTGACATAATCGAAAGTTAAAGCTTACTTTTATAAAATTGCTCTAACAGTTTGCAAAAAATAATAAGCAGGATCCAATTAGAAGATTAAGGAACAACGCAATCTGCAACATTAACTGAATTAGATAATTTTAGCTTAGCTTATAGCGTCCGTTATACATTAAACGCGCATGCGCACACGCATATGTGAGGCCGTAAAGGTCTTACGCGTATGCGTCAAAGCGACGTATGCGCAGAAAGTTTGTAGCTTTAAGGTCCGGATTATAGATCATTCCAGATTATGGGTGTCCGAATTATAACGACTTTTGACTGTATTATTAAATATTAGTTAAAGCTTCAGAAACTGCTCTATAATGAATTAAAAACAAATGAAGTTGAATAAAAATTAGAAAAAATTATTCCAAAAAAAGGACTAGTCCAGCATTAAATTTTGTTAAGAGATAGTAATGTGACAGAATCCCAAGTTTTATTTTTTTTCCCTTAAAATTTTCATAGCATTTAATTTTTTATCAATGCTTTGAGATCAATAAGTCTTCTTTAATAATAAATTTGAAAGAGACAGTCTAAATTTAGACAAATGAAAAACTGGGGCATTTGAAGATTTAATGAAAGAGAAATAAAAAACTGGGACAGTTGGCAGCTCTGTAGTGTCAATATACAAAATAATAATAACCATCTACAGCATTAAATTTGTTTCTAGAGAATAAACAAATTTAGCATTTGGAGTTAATTTAGAGACAACAAACATTAAATACAGTTGTGTTTTACATAACGAAGATGATCAATTCTGCAATGAAATAGTTCACTTTTTCACAGGATACCATTTCCCATAGGTTATTTTGAGAAAAAAAGTTACAGAATACTAAAAATATCATCATTGATGGAAATTTACCAAGAATTTACCAGTTGTAAAAAATATCTTTATATGTATGTATACAGTCTCACATTTTATTGGTTTAGCTGCTGAATTTCAGAGAGTTCTAAATTTTAAGAACTTATCCAAAATATTACTACTCTTCTTCAGGATGATCTTGAAATAGTGCATGATACTGTCACTGAGCATATCATACCTGATTTCAATTTCTTCAATACATTTTTTATATTTGCAGCAAGTACAAACCCTCGTCCTTACCACAAGAAAATTTTCCTTATGTTCCTAGTCAAGAAGTTCTCCAGTGGTGCAGTTTGTTCTAGTTGCAGTGTTTCAGTTGTGATATAATGATAAGAAATATGTTTATTTTCTCTGTTCATTGTCATACAGATCCTATTCATTTCACTATATCGGTAAGTTCATAAAAACCAAAGTGTACAATGAACAAGAAAACAGGATAACTAAAAAATATGTATATGACACACATTCATTAAATTTAGTAAATAAAATTAATTTTGCATTTAATCAGCATGAAAATAGCACATGTTATGAGCTACTGTTTTCTACATAAAGTTGTTTGCTAGTTTTAATTGGTTATATTGGCAGAAATATACCAGCCTGGTGAGCAGGTACTACAAAACATTTTTCACTAACCATTTCACATGGGCTGTAGAGGCTAACTTTTTATATACTGAAGCCATTTAGTCAACTGTTCAATCAGAGAGGAACAATTAAGTAGCAAATTTTAAATCTCCACAACACCTAATACCTTTCAGCCATATTTATGTACTGAATGTGTCCCAACCACCAGGAAGAGATAAAAGAATTCAAATAACCCGCCTTTGTCCTTCAACACATTTCATGAACACAAAGAAAATTACAATGCTGTTTTCAGAAGGTTTCTTTTGAGGTAAATCATAGCTCTGCATATCTTTTTTCTAGAATTTTAGTATTTTGGTTCACTAAGACCGAAGCTGAGAACTCACTATAAATGAAAATCTCAATGTCCTATGCATGCATGTTGGGATTAAGAAGTCAAATTTGCAATAGCTGAGCCCACTAATACTCAAGAATAAGTGTAGTTTGCTGGTTAAATTTTTGTGCCAAAGGTTTCAAATTCCACTTTAAAATATCAGCATTTGTAATAATCCATTATTATACCAATAAGCCAAGATTACACTCTCAAAAAGTAACATACATCCTCATTAATTTCTTTGTCATTTTCTATTGCTGAAACAAACTACAATTTTTGAAATTTTTAGTATTAAAATTAAAAGCTGCTGCAACAATTAAGGTGGTAATTATGTATCAGTGCAACATTGAAAAATGAACAGAAAATTTTAAATCAGGTTTTCAATTTCAATATTATTTATTTATTCAAAGAAATAAAGCAAATAATCTTTTTATTTTGTGATATTCTTTAAATCAATCTTCCACACAAAGAGCTGGTTTCTCTAACAAAATAGACAATAAATGTATTTCTCACTGTATATAAATAAATTCAGTATAAATTCAGCATGGCTTTGCTGGATGATCACTAACCTCACCCCAGTTTGCTGATCCAAATAATGAAACTCTCCAGTCTAATTTTTTATTAAACTTTAATTATAATTTGATTAAGTTTTGATTAATATAATATGGTTAAATCTATTTTGCGCACGAAACCGCAATACTGAAGTTTGCAATGGCAATCAAAGCATTATACATCAGAGTGAGTGTGACACTACTTACTGACTTCTAGAAAGAAAGCGTTAGAGGTAAAACAAATTACAGTCAAAAGTCTTTAATCCGGATGTCCATAATCCAGACCTCAAAGCTACAAACTTTCTGCGCATGCGTAAACGCATTGCGCATACTTTTACACATGCACATTTAATGTATAAAGCATGGTATAAGCTGTTAAAATTATCTAATTATCTATTTCAGTTAATGTTGCAGATTGCATTTTTCCTTAACCTTCGAATTGGATCCGGCTTATTATTTTTTGCAGACTGTTAGAGCAATTTTATAAAAAGTAAGCTTGAACTTTCGATTATGTCAAAAAGAATTTCCAATTCTGGAGATGCCAAAGGATCTACAAAGCGAAAGCATGTTTCGATGCCCATTAAAACAAAAAGTGGATAGAGGCATGAAGAAAGTGACAAAGAGGTGATTTATTTCTCTAACCATTCCGAAATCTGTTTATCAGTTTCATGCTGCTCAGTGTGTGTGTGTGTGTGGGGGGGGGAAGGACATTGCGGTGCGCAATGAACTGGAAGTTGATATGTCAGCACTATCCTCATCTTCAGGGCAGATGTTTTTATTCTATTCGGCTTATAATTCCTCACTAAATTTAGTGTTTCATCTCGATGTACTCCGATATAATTTAAATCAATTTCCTCGTCATTATAAATATCACAAATACTCATCAAATAGTTTTCTGGTTGGAATTTTTTAATTTCGACTATGTGTAATGCATGCTATACGCATGTGCGTGTTGAAAGAAATGTTTAATAAAGTAAACAAATAAATATTAAGCTTTTTTTTGTAAATTTTGATACTGTTTAGATCATAATTGCTCTTTATTTCATAAATTATGGTTTCTTATTTTAAATTTTATAATTTCTGCATGCCATCTTACCAGATTTAAACTGATGATCTATAATCCGGAAAAAACGATAATCCGGAAGTCCTGACGAGTCCAGATTAAAGACTTTTGACTGTATAACACTTTTAAAATGCCTAAATCTAATAATACATTTTCAGACAATCCAAAGCACAGTTTTACCTGAATTGTGTCTATGATGTGATCTATGATTATATGTATCTCTATGACTTGATTTTGCTTCTGAAGTAGAAGTCTTAGTGTGATTTCTGTAATCACTTCTTGAACTTGAGTCTCTTTCAATAGATACTGTCGTTTGATGGCTTCCATACTTTCTATTGTTGGTTTTATCACTATGACTAGTCGAATTTTTTGGACATGGATTTTTTTTGGGATTATTACCTTCAAATTTATCTGTATTACTAGACGAATTTCTGTTACACGAATTTTCTACTGTAACAGAAGCTTCACTTTTATTTATATGATTACTTGAATTTTTTGAACACGACTTTTCTTTCAGATTAGAAGCTTCACATGGATGAGAATATTTTCTTTCAGCCTGTACATTTACTTTTCTACTTTGATTCAAAACTCTATCTAGCCTGAAAGACAGAAATAACATCAAAATCATTAGAATTTGGCAACTGCTAAAATAAATGAAAAAGTAACAAAATAGATTAAAAGCTTATTTGGGCCAAGCAATTGTTTTCATAATCCAGATAACTATGAGCACAAGAGAAGTTTCACCCTCTAAATTATCCATATATATTTCAAAAACTTTATCTTAAAATAAGTGAAATTGCTCAGTTGTTTTATTAATTAATGAAAGAATTATGAACTAAGGATTTGGGGGGGGGCAAGGAGAGAGAAATTTGAAATAATGGATAGGTAAGCAATGGCATGTATTACATATTTCATTTTTTTTTCTTTCAGCAATGAGTCTCGGAGCAAATTCTAATATAAATATTCAACTGAATAATTTTGGGTTAGAATCCAGAAAATTTCCTTAACTTGAGCAAAATTTTACCGCTAATTATTTCATACATGTCTTACATACTTCATTTTATTCATATTCATACTGGCTTGCATGCGATGTTCAGGCAAAGCGATTATTAAATTGCTATCAGCCCCTGAAGAAGCTGTTAAACATAGGATTGCCACTCAGGAGAATGAAATTCCCTGACTTTTCCAGGTTTCTCAGGTGTGTTTTCAGAAAATTTCAGTGTATCCATGTAGTGTGTGTTGGCTCTGCTAAAGGTAAATTAATTATGGTTACCACTAGAAATCACAAAAAATTGCCAATTACATGTGACACACACACATATAATCTCCAAAGCATTACTATTATGACTATAACAGGAGTTACTTTCCTCAATAACTTTCATTTGCAAAAGAAATTAAATACTTACAATACATTCCATCTAAGCAATAAACAAAATCAGAAATGAAATTCATTGATTTTTTCCAGTGCAATGTATGAATTTTTAATTATATCATGAATGACAGCTTTATTGTTTTAAAAAGTAATGTAGATAAATTCTGGAATGGAAGTTATTGTCCACAAACTGGCAATGGGAGCCAGTTATTAAATAATGTCCTATTAAATAATATATATTTACCAAACAATCATCTCAGTAACATTACAACACTTGCTAAATTCTGGGGGAGAGAGAGAGAGAGGGAGGGAGGGGAAAAAATTTTGTTTCTAAAGTCAACAGATTTTTGATGAAAACATTTAAGCACGTATAATACAAATTAAATGTAATTTTTTATTAGAACTCAAGAGAAAAAAGGACATTTAGCATATTTAAACAAAACATTAATATAAAAAATACGAGGGTTGGGGCAAAAGTCATGGCAACTATTTTTTTTCTTGTAGATATGTGAACGGATCACAAAACGTATACGTGTGAAAGTTCTGCAGGCATACTGTGTATACAAAACAACAGATGGCTCTGTGGTAGCGAGGGCTCTGAAATCAGTCAGTTGGTGAGTGCCGTGAGAGATGGAAGTAACCTGTATTGAGCAGCGCGCTTACATCAAAATAGTCATTCTCCGAGGGAGAAATGCGATGGAATGTCACAGTGAATTAGTAGAACCCTTGGGAGTAATGCCCTACCATATCGTACAGTAGCATGTTGGGTAGGAAAGTTTCAGCAAGGACCTGTGTCAACCAGCGATGAGCAACGTTCGGAACGACAGGTGAGTGTGCGGACCGACTTGGCACGTGCCATCATCGAGCACCTCATGGATGAAGACAGACGATAGACATTCATGGAGTTAGAGAGGGCAAGTGGCATCGAGAAACGCACCATCCACAGGATATGGCGTAATGAGCTAGCGTCAGAATCCGAGTCAAATTGATGGTAATCGTTGCGTATGGCATCAGGGGTGTCATTGTTTGCCACTTCGTTCCTCATGGCAAAACAGTGACCGCACAGTACTACAGGGACTTCCTCGTGCCACAGGTACGAAGTGGCGTTCGGGATAAACGTCCGGATCTTGTGGACAGTGCAATAATTCTGCACGACAATGCAAGACCACATAAAGCAGAGTATGTATGGCAGTTACTCCGACGTTGGGGATGGGAAGAATTGGAACACCCACCGTGCTCTCCTGACCTTTCGCCCTGTGACTTTGATCTCATTCCCGAGATTAAGGAACCAATACGTGGTAGACGATTTGCAACACGAGAGGCCACTGCTAATGCTGAGCACCAACAGATGACCTGATTCACACATGGTGCGGCAATGCTGAGGCTGATGGTATTTAGCGCCTCCCAAATCGTGGGCAGCGTGTGATGACAGCAGAGGACTACATTATGGGTCTTTAAGCTAAGGTTTGTCATGTCAACTTTATGTGTATTGTGTTATCATTCTTTTGCACGGTGAAGGCTATATTGCCCTGTATACTACCATAATAAATTCGTGTGTTACGATATTTCAGTGCTATTCATTGTCCACACATGTAGTTAAGACCTTGTTCTTTCGTCTGTATATGTCACATTTTTCAACCGGACTGGTGTCTTCAAGAAAAAAAATAGTTGCCATGACTTTTGCCCCAACCTACCTATTAATAAAAATTCAGCACAAAACTAGATTTCTTGTTTTAAGCCTGCAATTAGTAAGTCAATTGAAGAAACATCTCTGCCCAATTTATTTATTTATTTTTTAATACCCCAAAATGTTTATCTGTGCTTGTGCTTTTCTTTTGTCCAAAAATATTTTTTTGATATTTGTTATTACACTGTTTTTTTGCCTTCGAGTGCTTGATGACATACACCATGAGCAGATCTGGCATATCGTGACATCTTTAGGGGGTTACTGGAAACAAAGATGCTAGGAACTTGCTTTGCCTATCTAAAAGACAATCTGATGGGGCTGCAAAAATTGGCTCTATGCCAACTGCCTGAATGACAATGATGCGATGCACAATTTGCCAAAAAAAAGGTGATTGCTTCCAATGTTGGTGCAAAAATTTCTTTTCTGGTAAACGCCATATGAAATTCCCCAATTTTTCCAGATTTTGACTAAAATATTTTATTTCCCTGACTTTCCCCAGTAGCGTGGCAGCCCTGTAAATAACATAATGTTTATCATCTACTTGAACCTCACTTTAATATTGGAAGGAGCAACTACAGTAAAGTTTCCATATCCATGGGCAATACATTCCAAGACTTACTATGGATAATGAAAGGATTTTGTATAACATATATATATTAATTTAATTATATGGTAAGACAGTACAAAATGAAATAAAATAATGATATTCTGCACGTTGAAACACATCATATACCGAACTGCTAAGAAAATTAATGTAAAATATATTGTATATTAGAATATACTCTCCCTTATACTTTATAAACATTTTCACAGAGTTAACATACAATAGTGCAGTTCAGTAATCTGAGATTTACTGCAGATAATACTGAATGCTGTATAAAATAGGATTTTTGTGTAACATACATAATTATGCTTAAATTTGCTTGATTGCACACTGAGTAAGGAACTTTAACATTCTAACTAATTAACAAAAGAAGAATGAGAAATGAAGAAATGCAGTTCTTATTCTATCAACCATATTACACAGTTTTGAAGGAAGACCAAGACAACAATCCTCAATTTTCTTAGCACTAATAGCATAGTAGTTTCAAGCACATGGAGCATCATTACTTTTATATTTTAGTCTTATTGTAATAAATAAGAAATTTAAGAGCAAAAAAGATGGAATAACATGTTACTCTTGAGAAAAAGGATGAGAGCTGAAAACAAAAGTGAAATAAATTAAAAAAGACATATGAGTGTGAAAACTAAGATAAATCGAATATTTTATGCCCACTTCTAGTTACAGTTCGCTGCCAACACAGTTTATGACTATCAAGATAAAGTGTGAGAGCTGAGTTTTGAAGAGTTTCTTGTAATCTGAAGTTATATATAAGGTTCACAATAACTATTTCCTGTACTAAATTACATAAATCCAAAATCAGCATGCAGATATGCAAGAAAACAGAACTCGGCACATTTGAGCTGCACTTTTTGGTTATGTTACAGACTGTTGTTAATTCGTTTGAATTCCAAAACTTGCAGCAATTATGATTTTTCTTTGCAGCTCTAAATAAAAAATAAACGGAAGTATGGGTGCTAAATCATTAGGTAAGGTGGCCCAACAATACAGGTAACTTCTCTAATTCTTTAAATTTAGTTAGAAAAAAATATTCTATGTGGAGGAAAAAAGTCTGAAAGCTTTCAGTTTTGTGTTACCTTTATTTATTAAATATTGTGTTCTTCGCATTTAAAGCAATTTAAATTAATTTCATTAGCAATAACACGAAATATTTAAAAAGAGTTTATCTTTAGAATTTCCGATACACAGTCTTGCGAGTTGGAGATAATTCCTCCCCCTAATAAATCCCTAGCCTCATTTAATCAGTGACATTGATGTAGTAGTGTGATAAACAAATCTCTTCTTGAAGAATCATTCAAAAATTTTTTTTGTCCGGGCATAGGCGCAATATCTAGGTATTACTAGTGAAATCAGAAATGCAGCTGTAATCAGATTTAAGCAATTCCTTTTAGAGAAAGTACATGAGATATATTATATGATAAGAATAAATTCTGAAAAAAAGTTGCAAAATGATGAAAAATCTTAAGTAATGAAAAATTCAAGGCTCGAGGCTCGAACCGATGACCTAAAATTTTTAAATACAATCCACCAGCCAGTTAGGCCTTCAAAATATGCAAACAATTGTAGAATATGCACATAATAAACAGTAAAAAAAGTAAAAATTCTTGAATAAATAAAAGCATAAATATGTACCACTATCCACAGAATCGAAGAAAAATACTTCTACACCACCAAGCGGGGTTGCATTGAATAGTTTAGGGTCTTTTACAATGTTTTCATTGATGGATTGTAGCTTATGATCACTGAAAATGACATGTGTTTGGAGGTTTGCTGGCACCCATAGTATTGTTGATTTGTTCAGTGTTTGAAGTAGAATGATTTACACTGATTTTATAGCTAGGAAGGTACTGCATTTCTGCCTGATAACTTGCTTCGTTATCGGGGAAAATATTAATATTTTTTATATGAAAAATTAATTGAAGAAAGGTATACCTTTCCAGATCGGATCCTTGAAATGGAACTTCTAAATTATCATAATGCCTAATTTCTTCTAATAATTTTTCTTTCTGCACAATTATGTCATCAATGGAGATAGAAGTCAATGAAAGGGGACCTAGTGGATGATTTAAATCCATGATGTAATGAGATTCAAGTGTTCATGGTATTTCACAGTGGAGAGAGTAAAAAATATTGAGAAAGAGAAGGACAGTATGTCTAGTCATGCCATATAGTTTAGCTCAGTTAACTTTAAATCAGTAATTAAATTTAATAAGTCAGTGTTTAATATCATTATAAAAATGGTGAAAGCAGTTAAAAGAAGATCACTTTAGTTGCATTTTTTTTAAAAATTTTATATGATGAAATGGGATCACAGCATCAATTTTATTTGATGCAAAGACCATTTGAAAACATATTAACTTGTGCAGATAAATTTCATAGATTCAAAAAGAATATTTAATTTTGGAAAGATAGGATAGTTGGTTCCTTTGAAATGCTTAATAGGGTTGTAAGTTTGAATACTAAAAAAGTTTTAACATGGCCGTCATAGTTTTAACTGTTGGTCATGTGAAGTTGTGGTAACAGTTAATGCTGTGTTATAGAAATACATTGTACCCATATCTCATCTTACTTATTATAATAAATATGATTTAAAAGAGATAATAAAAGATTATTATGTGTACTACACATTGATTACTAAGCCTTTAACCCTCAGCTGGAGAGGCTGACATATGGTACGATTTTAGAGGGGCGACGTACGAAGTACGCCAGGTCGTTTTTCGAGCCTCTGCTTAGTGTTTGAAACTATTTAATCTTATACATGGCATTAATAAAGTGATTCGTCATGGTAAAAATGATGTAAGAAGAATAACAGAGAAAAAAGCAGTAAAGATGGAAATTCCGAATTTTTAATTAATTCAAAAAATGGAATGCACTGGAAATGTAATTTAAAGTTACAAAGTATTCTGTATTGTTTTCTGTATGAAAATTATAAGATCATAAATCAAATTTACAAATTATAAATATTCTGTACAGAAAAGTTCAACAAATAATAAATTTCACAAATGAAAAAAATTAAAAATCTTTTGCTACTCTAATCCTCTTCAGATTGTCCCTGTTCACTGCAGTAGGGTTTGCAAAGTTGTACTGTCTCGCCCAGATGATTTTTGCAGGTAAACTTAGAATACACAGAACATTTTATGGTAGTGTAATTATTCTTCATTCTACTGCACTCAGTACAGCGTCCTTTGATCTTTTTTACAGGTGGTTCCTCATCCCTTTCGGCCATCTTGTCCGCTTCTCTTGTTACCAGCCTTCTAATAATAGTTTTGGATTATGACAGGAGAAACAGCATTTTCAGACGATTCTGAAGATGTGGTTTCATCAAAGATGTAGCCAGGTTTTTCAAAAAGTATCTTCTAAACTCGATGTTTGCATCAGGTTTGGCAAAGTTCAAGAGCACTTGCGAATTTATGCCTGCTACGTTTAGCAGTGCAAAAAATATTGCCATTGTTCACCTCTTGGTTTTTTGGGCGACAGTGAAATTACTACAAAGTTGTCTATGGTTCAACTCCGCCTTTACATTTGTTATAATCCAGGATTATGTCAAGTTTATTCATTTCCTGGTCAATTTTGTCATCACCGTATAAAGTTCTGAGCAGTAATACACACTTATTTTTTTCGTTGCATATGAAACAATTGTCATATCCTTTTCAAAACCAAATAGTGAACTGCCGACTTCTCTTGTTTTTGATGGCTGGAATTCATTTGGAATTTCCTTTTTATTTTTTTTTCAGCATGCCCACAAGTGTTTATAACCTTATAACGTTCAAAAGAACTTAATTCAACACAGCTAAAGAAAGTTAATCTGCGAATTCGCTACAATCAACAAGAGCAGTTTCTAAACAAACTCTTAAAACAACAACAAACTAACTAAAATCACTCACTAACTGAATTGAGAGGTTTTCCTCCTTTTTATAAGATTTTTAAATCTCGCGCGAGAACTTTCTTGAAATCTAAAAGAGATATTTATTAAATGTTCCACGCACATGCTCTTGTATTTTCAATTTTCCAGCTTAGCTTTCTTCTTTTAATATTGGTTACGCGCTGCACTGAGCGGGAAATAAAACCATTTAATTTACAATTCAACTAACCATTAGCTATTTAAATACCAAATCCGTAACAATATATTTTGAAATGTTATTCATGTATGATCTTTGCACAAAATCATGTTTTCACATACATTTATAACTAGTTTCTAACCTTCATGCCACTACCAACATACATATTCAAAACATAATGCTGATTGAACATGAAAATAAACAATGAGATGCTGCTTTTCCTGCGCCAGCTTGTGACTGGAACCTGAGACATCACCCCACACTACGCACCAGAGCGTGATGGGCTCTTCAACAATAATGTCAATCACACGCCAGTGCGTGATCCTCACCAAATGTGTTAAAGTTTTTATAAAACAAGCTTTTATTAAAACTCAGAAAATAATTAATAGACTAAAAGAAGAAAAATAATTTACAATAATTTAATAAGAGCAAGATATTAAAATAATTCTCTTTACAAAATTCATCTACAGATTTATACCATGAATAATAAAAAAATGGGTGTTCTTGATAAATTTACAGGGAAAAAAGATAATAAAAGATTTATACTTTAGGCAATGCAATTTAGTTAAATATACTTTGTTATTTAGACACCTTCACAAACTCAACCATCTCATTTGCAAATGTTTCAAGCCATATGGTTTTCTAATATCTTTTAAACCAACCAACAAAGTGAAATTCTCAATTATAAAAGATGAAATACATAAGATTTATTCATGGGCAGTTTATAAAAATCTTTATAGATACGAGATTTCATATATATGTGGACAAAGTTGCAGATCATTACAATTTAAGTGGTCAGAGTGGTTGCTCATATCAATTAAACTTTAAACTCTCAGTTTGATTTTATAGGATGCATTTGTAACTTTTCTGCATTAGCTACCTTCTGAATGATGTGTAGGTTCTATTTCCCTTCTGTAAGAAGCATGGAAAAATGCTGTTCCAAACCTTATCACTATTCTTTGAATTAAGCATTCCAACTTCCACATATAACAACTTCTACAGTGTCAGCTTTAATAATGCAGTTCTGATAAATTTAAACTAAGTTGCAATAAAACTGCAATCAGCAATAATTTTTTGCTCATTTTGACAAATTTTGTACACTGAATTTACTACTTTTTACTACTGAACTACATGATTATTTTTCCTCTAATAACTTATCCTCCATGTGTAAGTAATTATTGCACTTTCATGTTCTCATTGTATAAATAGTTAGCTTGTTCAACTAGCAGTTAAATGATCCATAGTTCGAATACTTGCCAAGGCACAGTACTATAAAGTCATAATAAAGAAGGCTTACAGAATATAATATTTATGTAAAAAATTCTATCCTTTAAAAGGGATATTAACTAAAATAATCTGAAGGGACTAGTAGTTTTAACTGAATATTCTAGATTTATATTTGAACTTAAAAACTAATTTAATATAATTATCAAACTTAGAAGCTATTAATACATATATTTATTTTTATATCTCTATATATGATAAATACTTACTGTTTATGTGCCTCCTGCAGCAGACTGTCTTTTCTTTCAATTTCAAATTTTGCTGTTTTATATAATGAGCACAAATTTCTTTTTAAAGATTTAGCCAGTTCAGTTAACTCAGATATTTTTGCATCTTTTTGTAAATCAGATTGTTTCAGTCTTTCAACTTCCTCAAGAAGACTTTTGTACTTAGCTTCATGCTGTGAAAAGGTAATATATTGAGTTGTTTTATGAGAGATTGACAGATTTTTAAAACATTAAAAAAATGATCCAGAAAAAGTACAACCAAAAGAAACATAAATTTAGATATTGTTCACTAAAAAAGTTTCTCATATTATTACCAAACTTCAGTGCATAAACATTTTGTTAGTTGTCACTTAAAGTATAGCAAACCAATAATTAGTTTAAATATGCAATAATTGAACCAATCAAAATTAGTGCAAATTGTAGAATCAAAACAACACAGTGAAAGTCTCAACTATCCGACTATCCCAAAGATTATGCATTTAAATCAAATTATTATTCATGTTAATAATATGTCAAAATTACTGTTTAGCAACTCTCAAATTGCAATTTATTCAACAAAAATTTTGAAACTAGTCAAAATTTTGTAGGTGCTCCTAACAGCTACTTAATGCCAATCTCATCAAATTTAAGAAACAACACCAGTGTGGCAGCAGGTTACGTAAACTAATTTTTGTTGTTAAATTTGGTAACATTTGGCTGTAAATCTCCAAACTGACAAATATTTTCATCTAAAGCATTTGAGAAAGTCTGAAAAATGATACCATCTGAAATGCATAAAATGTTAAAGGTCAGCTTTATTCTGACCACTTAACTTGTACAATTCAACTCTGCATACATTAGGACTTCAACATTAGGTTCCGTGCATGGAATGTTTACAAGGTGGTAATGCAGTATAACATACCTATATCAAGGTATCTTGCTCAGAAATTCAGTGTCTATTTATCTGACAGTCCTTAAACCAATCACAATGAAATTAAATATTAAACATAGAAATTATAGACATAGCAGTTAAGCACAGAAATTCTATACTCAACTGTACTGTGATTTGTATCATACTGTAGTCCTGTGCATAATAAAGACTGTTTTGAATATTAAAAAATTAATAATTAAGTTAACCTCTTAATGCATTAAACTGAGTTAACTCGGTTACATTGAACTGAATTATTTCTGCTACTTCTAGTAAATATGTCTGAAAATTCTCCCCCCCCCCAATATGAATGCAGCAGAATATATTCACTACAGTTTTCAGTTAAAATTATAGTCCTGTGCATAATAAAGACTGTTTTGAATATTAAAAAATTAAGTGGAAATTAAAATTAAAAAAGTAAGAACCTCTTAATGAAAACTGGTTACTCGGTTACATTGAGCTGAATTATTTCTGCTACTTTCTAGTAATATGTCTGAAAATTCTCCCCCCCCCCCAATATGAATGCAGCAGAATATATTCACTACAGTTTTCAGTTAAAATTAAGAAAGAGGTTAAAAAAGGTGCTCAGGGGATTAAATCAATACTAATTTTACAGAAATTTTATTTGCATTTCAGAGGGATCTGGTAGTTTTTTCAAAATGCATACAGCTTTTTATAAACTAATATCAATGTGTGATTATGCTTTGCTTAATTTTAGAAAATTAGTAAAATATTACTTAGTTAAAACTTTTGTATATAAAAATAGTACTGCTACACATTTGTTTATTAAAATATAAAAAATATTAAATTTTTATAATTTAATATTTACAATGGAATGCATGAATTACAATGGAATATACTAAGAGTTAAAAGAATAATACTTATAGATATATAAAGTTTTATATTTCACATTATTTTTTAAGCTTTTCTTTTGGAAAATATTTATTAGCAATTCAGATTACATATGGGATTTTTTACATAATAATATGTTTACTTTAATAAAACAGAACATTACAAAAATGATGATGTGAAAACACATTTTAAATGCGATAAAAGCACATCAGAATTTTGGTGACAAGTACTAATTTTCAAATGAAATTATGTGATCAGAAAACTGATATATAGCAAAAAATTTTCAGATTTTTTAATACTTAGCTATAAATAACATCAGAAATTTAATTAAAAAGTTAACGTAGCATCAAAATCAGCAAGTTTTGCACTGCATTTAAACCAATGATGGGGGGGGGGAAAGTCTACATATGATTTATTAAAAGACAAATTTACTATCCCAATCAATTATCTCAGCTGAAGATACTAAAATACTTACATAATCTAAAAGGAAGTTTTATTTACTGAATAATAATAATATTAACTGAAAGAAAGTGTTTGTGTTTTGATATTTTTAAAATGGTTTCAGCCTTTTTCCCATTACATTATTTAACTCAGCTTAAAAAAAAAAAAAAAAAAAAAAAAAAAAAAAAAAAAAAAAAAAATGCATAATGTAAGTCTTATATATACATATTTTAAAATTTCAATTCATATTGTTGATTAAATCTTCACCTTTGCAACAGGATTTTTCTCAAGTTCCTCTTTATATCTTAAATGTGAACTAAATACTTTTTTTTTTTAAAGGATGTCATGAAAAACACAGTACTGAATATAGAGAATGAACACATTAATGTTACATATTAATTATTACATTACAGATTAATGTTAGTAAAAAATTAATACAATGAATTAGTAGGCAAGCCAAATGGTGTAACATATTTGAATAACAGAAAGTTTAAAATTCTAATTATTCTCTACATTAGACTAAATACACAGGATTAATATTGGTAACTTTTGATTTTGTGAAACAATGAAAGCAACAAAATATTAATAATAATATTTTACATATTTCTTGAAAATATAAAATTACTCATAAAAATAAATTACACATTCAGATGCATATATGAAATTATTTACATAAAATTTTATATTTTTATTATGAATACCTTAATTCTGAAATTTACTAATAAAGTAAAAAAATCTTATAATACCCATTGTTATCTTCCCAAGTAGCAGTTTTGAAATTTGTAAGAAAAATGCAATAAATAATGATTATGTCTAAAAGCCATTACGTCAGCATGTTTCCATAACATCTTCAATTTGTCGAAATGTCTACACTATGCTGCAAAAATACCAGAAAAGTGATCAGTCCTCACTGCATTTTTTTAGACCAGTCAGTGTAATGTTTGTTGCATCAGGTGGGTAAGTTTTACATAGTTTTACAGCTAAATTTAAATAAACAAACGAGGTTATAAAATTTTTTGCAGTTTGAGAAAGTAAATTAAACTCCTGGTAAAATAACTACTTTAATTAATAAAGGAGAAAATGTAATAAACAATCCAAATCAGCATTTATAAATTTACTTAAATTTGTTTGCAAGTGTTAAATATTAAAACTTTTGATAGCTGTACTAAAAACACTTTATTAAATTTGAATTCAAATCCAGTTTTTTGCAAATTAAAGTGATGGGCCAACTGCATAGGTGTTTTTATGGTTTTTCCCATGTGCAACATTGATATGAGCTAGTTTCCCTTAGAAAATTATCCACAAAAGCATCCTTCTCCTCAAGCAAATAGCATTAGCATGCTTTGACATAATCAAACAAACCAAACTGTTTTTTAATCAAATTCTCAGAAAAACATGACGATTTTAAAAGTTTTGTAAGATTTACCAACCATGCAACTTATATTTTGTCTGACTTTTTTTCCGAGAATCACATTCTGGGGAAACAGATCTTGCTGAAACACCTGAACTGAAGAAAACATATAAAGTTTCCCAATCACTTGAAAGGTTATCTTCCGTAATCACTGTCAATGGGGTCGCTTCGGTCACATTTATTGCACCATCACCAAGTTTTCGATTAAGTAAAAGAGGAGTGACAACATTTAGCCATCGTGAAATTTGTTCTGTTATCAGAATCAGAAATGTATGTATCCATTATGTATGGATAGACTGGCATGTTCATGTATGCATTTATGTATGTACATACATATAATATCTTTGTGTGCACACACATATATATGCACGCACAATACATATGCATACATACGTACACTTCCTGATAACAGAAGAGCACTCAGGAATCTCATAAATGGAAAGTTTTGCTCTTCCAACTGCAGCTTATATATATTTGTGTTTCTAACAAAATAAAATAAATATATGAAAATTTAGTATTGAAAAAGTAAAAAGTTATACAATACTTCTTCCTTCCTCTGCTTTTCTTCCAGTTCAACTTTCTCAAGTTCTGCAAGAAGTTCGATTTCTGCTTTCTTGAGTTCAGATTCTAGATCCGAATTAACGTTGTCATGCTCAAACTTTAGAGCTAGAACATCACTTTCACCTATCCATGAATCCATAGGCAACTCGGTTGAATTCGAATGAAAAGAACTACAATCATCTACTTGACATTTCTTAGATGAATCTATAGTCTCAGGAATAAAACCATCTTTATCAGCACACATATTATCAGAATCCATCAACAATTCTTTAAACCTAAAAAAATAAACAGATGGCATTTAATGGAAAACAAAACTTTTGTTTTATTCAAGAATTAAGTCAGCATTCAAACAGGCTTCATTTGTACATGAAAAATTAAGTCAAGCAACTAAATGAAATTTTTGCAGTGGTTTAGACAACTGTGGTGATGGTAATAAGGAGCACGCCTTGCACCCTTCGATAAGTGTGGCAACCCTAGAGGAGAAGTTTCTTACGAGTAGCGAGCAGAGCGAAACAGGCCGGCTGTCGGGGAGTATGCGCGAAGTTCCAAAATAAAGCTTAATTTTTATTGTGCACTATGTCTTGTTAATATTCATATTATGTAGTAAGAAGAACATAATCTGTGATATGGAATACAAGGATTGGTGGTAAAACATATAGGTAACAATATGATAAGAATCACTATACAACAAAACAAATGCTAGGTAAGATACCTATTTACTATATAGAATAAATAATTTTTTATGGAATTAAAATGTAATTAAGAATTATAAGCAAAAAGAATTAGATATACCTTAACAGCAGTATATAAATGCAGGATAATATACAATCTATGACCTTTCACCCCCCCAAAAAAAAACTAAACATCCTAAGCCATTATTCAATCAGAATGAAATTTTTTAACATGTTCCCTGCCATCCACGAGAATACTCACAGTTGAATTTACTTGAATTACAATTGAATTACAATTACAATTGAATTTACTTGCCAGCTATGACATATCATTACTGACTGCCTTACCTATATGCTTGAGTATGAATTTTTTTAGGTATTTAGCATAAAAGAAGGCACCAAGTAATACACTTGCCAAACTGAAATGGTTCATTTATTTCTTACAACATACATACAATAACTAAATTTTCGGAACATTATTTATTTGAGAAATCTTAAAAACTGTCTGCCCAAATTCTCGGTCAGTGAAAACTAAATGGAAAATAATGTATCCCAAGCACAGGAGTTTTACATGAATGCGCGGAATAAATATTCTTTTATCTAGTTCCAAATTATCCAGCAGTTGGCAATTTGCTCCAGTATTTGCTGCATTTGCTACACACAGAAAAGAACATAAAAACCTTATGATCTAGCAAATTTTGACACTGTTAAATATTTCTGCAGCAGAAGACAGCAAGTTTTATTTACAATAATTATGATATATTGTTTAGTCCTCTCCTGTGGATTGGTGGAAGGGGAGAGGGGTGGGAGACTTCCGCATCTCCTTAGGGATTTCTCCTCTCTTCCTCAAAACTGGGGTTGGAAAATAGAAGTCATAAAATTAAGTAAAGTAGCAAATGATAAAATGGCGAAGTAAAAATTTATTCTTAAAAAAAATCTTTAATCTTTTGATTAATATTTTCTACAAATTTAAAAAATAACTTCTTCATATATTATTCTTAAATACTTATTATGTATTGTTAATAAAAATAAGGATAAAGAAATTCCATATGAACAATCTTTAGTAAAAGTTTATTCAGAAATTTAGGGGTGTTTGTGGGACCCCAAAAAATCCCCTGAAACTTTTACGGACTTACTACCGACATTTTGGAGTTTTGAGAAGGGGGGGGAGAGAAATGAAAAATTACAATTATGAAGTATTGAATGACCTAATTATAAAAGTTCAATGAATTACTTTTTTTTGCAAAATTAATAACCATAAATTTCAAACATATAAACTACTACATTTTATGTAAATATTTTAAATTACCTGAATTAATTCTTTAAAAAAAATTATCTAATTTCTGCTGCTTTTTTTTTTTTTTTATTTTCTGATGTTTGTGGGCTTGTCTTTCTTTTGTGGTGAACTTCATAATTGCAGGAAGGTTGACTTTTATTTTCCTCATTTACAGTTGAAGAAATTTCCTCGAGAACTGCACATGCACAGGTAGAAGCAGTTTGCTTTTCTGCTCATGTAGAAGGTTTTTCAGAGACTTTTATAGGTGACTCATCTGAAATACATGTTTTTAAGTCCTCTTGATATGTTTTCCAACTTCTGTTCATATTCAGTAAGAGATCTTTGTGAATTGGATCAGTCATTGGATTTTTTGAGCCATATTTTTTACATGAAGTTTCTTTAGAAGCCATTAAATCATATTTAATAGTCTGCACTGCATCTAGGGAATCAATCTTAAGAGAGGTTCTATAGTCAGTGACATCCATTAAGTTGAATGCACTTTCCACTAATGTGCCATGGAAGCAGCTAAGGCAGGCTTTGACCAATTTAGCCAATGTAGGGTACTTATAATCATTTGTGAAATCATCTTTTAAATTAAAAACTTTAGACCAATATTTATCAATTGTACACTTGACTTGATTTCCACTCTCATCAGATGTGTAGAGCATTTCTTTGGGGATATCAATATCACTCTGGTATAACCTTATTTTAGCTTCTACTATTGACTTTTCATTATCACTAAAAATATGGGACATAAAAGATGATAATTTTTCAAAAGCTAATATTGTACTGGTTTTATCTCTCAGCTCTGGATCTAATGCTGTAAAACTATTTAGATATGAATTTTTAAGGGGTAATTTCTGTTTCATATGCTGTGCTGTATTAGTATAAGCTTTCATCAGAGAAATTTGGAATTCTTTTGCTATTGGATGATTTTTTGATAATTTCTTCAGGAGAGTAGAAGCTTCTGCACCAGTAAATATTACTTTGCTAGGTAGATGGAATTCTGGATTTGTTGGGAATGCAAGCAAGAATACTCCCCTTCAACAATTTTTTTCTGAGCTGCAGAAATATTTCTTTTATTGTATACAGTTTCAACATAAGAAAAATAATCCCCTTTATCAATTTTATCCAAGTAGTGAAAATAAAATGCAATAAGAGCATCCCACAGATCTTTGATTCTTTCTAAAACACATAAAATGTACACCCACATATGGTCTGGTCTCTTCAAGGGCTTAAGTTTTTTAATGGCAAGGGATTCACAGATTTTGAAAAAATTTTCTCTTTTACTGCAGCTTTTCATATCAAAATAGATGTCATCAAACAAATCTTCTAAGTATGTATCAAAACATGAAGCAAATTTTTTTGCACAGTTATTAGCTGTGTGACATGTGTCACCATCAAAATAAGTGGGGTGCTTTGTTTGATCTTAGTCTGGTTTTAACACCCTTTTTTTTTCCCACGCATGGTGTTACACGAGTCCATTAATACACTAATTAAGTTTGCCCATGGAATATTATTATCTTCAAAAGTATTAACAACTGCTTTAAAAACAGCTTCTGAATTGCAAGATTCCATCTTTAGAGATGCAAAATGATGAACTACAACTTTATTTTGATTGTTGTCATAAAACTGCACCAATATTGCCAGTATACTTTCTTGAGCATTGCTAGTACTTTCCTCCAAATTTAGAGAAAATGGAGTCTCCTTTAAAGTTTTAACGATATTTTCCTTAATGTTTTTTGCGAGCCCATATTTCATCTTATAACATGCAGTAGTCCTGGACATTTCCAACGAGTTTAGTGCCGTCTGATCGTGGCTCAACTGTTTGCAGAGTTCAATTAAATTGGAAGCTACATTGAAAGAAAGAGAATTCTCGGCGATAAACGAAGTTATTAATACCTCTTGGCGTGCTTTTCTTGTCACTATATCCAATGGCCGAGCATCAGTCTCCAGTAAGTCATCAGTATTTTTTGAATTAGCATAATTACTTAAAGTCATTGAATGTCTAATGCACTTTGAATATTTTATGTGCGTCATAGTTTTAGAATGATTTGTGAAAGCCTTGAATCCTTCCCCACCATACTTCAGCAGTGAGTTACAAAAAACACAATATGCTTGTCCAGCAACATTTATTTTCTTGCACCATGTGCCGATGGTATCCCCATTACCATCTCTTCGTTCAATCCAATTCCACCTAAATGCATTCCGGACACCTTCTTCTAATTGTATAATATCACTATTTATATCGAGAAATTTCATAGTGAAATTCTCTTGCGTACATAAATAAAAAAATATTTCAATAAACCAAACGAAAAATTTACATGTGCATCAATAAATGAAACGAAAATTTTACACAGCGGAGAAAAAAAAGTTGAGAAGGGATCAATGACAAATAGCTAATACGGCAAAAAATCCCCCTTCTCTACTTATTGGTACCACGCCAGGAGAGATAAGACCTTTGAACCCAGAGTCGCGTGATCGCACATCTGGTCGAATGAAGTCTCTCCCTTTTTTTCTGCCGCGCCTACTTGCGGAAAAGAATCCAGAAGAGAATGTCCGAGAACCGGGGGAATGAGTCATAACTCGCAATAAGGAAAGAACAAAAAAGAAGTTCCCCCCCCTTTTCACGCATTATCACTCACTGCCTTTGGAGAAAGAAAGGAAAAGTTTTCACCACACACACTGACCTTGCGTTTTCTGCTTTTAAAGCAAACAAAATTACCCAGATCAAAATAAATAATTCATTATTATTCCTACTTCCTTTTGAATGAGGATCCCCGGAATTTCTGGGTATCGAAGTTCAAAATCCCTGTTGTAATTCACTGAAGATGGTAGCTAAGTGCATAAATCACATTTGGCATTATTATTGCTCATAATAAATATACCAAATTTCAAAATGCACAAATACATAAATTCCCAGATATCTTCATAAATTCTGAATAACAAATTCTAATTTTTGGCTGATATGCCAAGAAATAGATCTACTTTAACACTCTCAGCGTTAAGGCCGGAAAATTCCGTACAGAAGGTTGCCTTCCACATTCATTATACATGAAAAATTCTGCTAGCTTTTAATGTATCTGATTTCAGTTTCGATGTATATTGGAAGAAAAGGAATCAAGGTACAAAATGAAAGAGTCATTTTTTAATTAAAATCAAGAAAATATCACTTATTCATGACATTTTGAGGAACTTTGAAATTTCAAGGCTAAACCCACAACGCTCAGAAGGTTAAGATGATGGTAAAATTTTTATAGGTTACAATTAAAAATGTTTTTTTTCGAAAATTTATAAAAATTATTTAAAAATGCAAATTTTTTAAATAAATCTGAAAAAAATATAGGAATTTTATCTGGATTAAAACTAAATTTGGAATTATGAAAAAGGGAGTTAAGTAGCTTAAAGATGATATTAAATATATGCAAAATTAAATTACATTGCAAGATAGTAAAATTTTGACTGCTAATTTTTTTAAAAACATGCTAGGGCGGTTTCTACAAAATTTTGCTTGTAGTCGTAGTTTGAGATGTAGAATCAAAATGTGTAGAAAAATCAGCATGTCATTTCAGAAAAAGTCCGATTTAATGTCAAAAATACATATGTCAGAACAGCACTATATGTAAATCTTAAGCATATTTTAAACTGAGTTTTTGGTACATGAAAAATGCTAGTTAAATTTCATCAGTCAGCTTAACAGAATTGTACTTTTTTTTGGGGGGGGGGGTTCACGGAATTGAATTTTTAATTTTCAAATTCAAAATCTGAATGATCTGATATCAGGACCTACAGTCCAAAAAATAACTAAAATAAATAGAAAAATTACCTCCCTCTTCTCATGAAGTCTAGGAATGGAGAATATTTCTTAACAAAAGAAAGCAGGTGTACAGTAAATATAATTTTTTTTTTTTTTTTTGAACTAACAAATTCCTGCATGTAACTTTCAACATTTGACGGGTAGGCAGTGGAATCATGGCCAATGACTTATGAATTTAAGACCTTGTATGACCCATATAATGGCCACATTTAGAAATTTATATTTAATCTTTGGATTATGGTAACTCAGCGATTTTTTGGTGACCAACCCTGCTACAGCAACCTGCTAGTTTTTGTTTGGACGTCACGTTTTGTTTTCACGAAGTAAAGGCATTTTTTTTTTTTTTTTTTTTACTCAACATTTATTTCCAAGAATCTGCTAGCCGAATTACACTTATGCTAGAACTTTTATGGAACTTAGTGCTTAATCACGACGAAGATTGGGTGCCAAATTGGGAGAAAGTGCAGAATCGCAAACTGCTTGCTGCGTTTTTAAGAATTGCACATACATGGTATCCATGTACACGTCAACCTATTTTCACTTAAAAAAACATCCCAGAATTGCACAAAAATGGCATTGCGCACACTCTTGACTTTATCCATGTACACTGCTAAAGTCCTAGCTAGTAACCTTTATCGCTTTACCAAAATGTCGCCAAACTACCTGTTACCATATTCCAAAGATTAGCCAAATTTACTTTAAAATCTTCAATTAAAAATTGCAGACATAACACAAATATATACAGTATATAGTCAGAATATAATCTGTTGGTTCCAATTTGTAATTACAAAGAAATCTTTTATTTTAAAATTAAACATTTTATTAAATCCATGTTTGTGTATTATCACGAATCTATGCTTATGTATTAAGTTACGAATATATGCTTTAAAAATATTGCCTTATGAAAGTTTTGGTTGTACTTTTTCATATATCTCATTGAAATTCTTTGATTTCATCATTGTATATGTAGTAAAGATAACTCAACAATAATATTATCTCAACAATCACACAGTAATTGCAACACTTTTTGAATCCTAGGCTTTCCCAGAACACGATTTAAGAAATGTTCGTTTACATATTATATTTGATTAAAATCACAAATATTTTTATTAAAAACCATATTTTATTGAACCACCATAGATTCGTTATTCTATTCAATTAAAATATTCTTAGTAAATGGATTTTTTTCCCCTTTCATTTTACCTGAACCTAATTCTACTTCTGACATTTAACAGGTTATTAAACACATACTCCAGGTTCAGGCGAATTTTACTTCCAGGGACTTTCGGCTGGTTTATTTCGCCCTTTGAATTGACAAAATACGTCAGTACTTTTGTGCGCAGCAAAAGAAGATATGGTAACAAAAAAGAAAATAAGAGAATCATAAAAATAGGACTTACAATAAACCCTCAACATTATTTAAAATACGCATAACTTAGCCACTACATACTCGGGTTTCGCGCGTTTTCGCAAAAATTAGACACAAAATATATATTGTTTAGTTGTCATATTCCTGATTAAACAGTTACTCTACTGCGGAGAGCTTGCTGGTTACCCTTAGTTGTTACTAGTTCAAACAGATTCCTAGAGGATACCAGAGAATGGACAGGCTGCCTGTATATTTTTGAGATTTCTCTCATGCATGACATAAATATAAACCAGTTTCCTTTATAATGTACTTCATGAAGACATCTTTTCCCATAAGCAGATTTCCCTCGCGTATTTTTGCAAATAGATTAAACCCAGGAACAGATCTAAAGTAAAATCAATAGCCTGAATGAATTGTTTAGTGGGAAATTTATGAAGTAGGGGGTCAGTTTCACCTGAAAATTTTGGGACCTCATATGTTAATACAGAAAAACGTTTACTATATTTTTAAACATTACTAATCCACTTCTAAATTTTCATAAGGTATTTCAGTTCAGTATTCAGTATTCAGTTAGTATTTTCATAAGCAAATCAGATAGAAGTCATGAAATTATCACGAATCTATATACGCTACCTTACGAAAATTTTGCTTGTGCTTTTTCGTATATATCATGGAAATTAAATTCTTTGATTTTATTATTTAAAACTGCTTTTTCATCAAAATTTTATTACAGTGAAAGAAATAAGAAAAAAATTTACAAAAAGTAATGTTCAGTTAATGAATGCCAATGAATTTTACTTAAAGCATAATGACGACATCAACCCAATGTGAAAGTAGTATGCTTTCATTACGAATTTTAGAGAATTTTTTTCTCCTAATCTTCAAAATAATTTGCGAATAATATTTATTTTTTATTTTTCAATCTGGACCCTCCCCCCCTCCTTTAAAATTTTTAGGGGAAGCCAGAGTTTAGTTGTTTACCGGTGATAAGCTTGGTTGTTTCTGAGTAACGTAAACATAGCATACCAGCCTGATAAGGGAGCGGAGTAAGATAAGTCGCAGATTAACTTGTGACCTTCTCTTTGGACGGACTTCTTAATTTATAAGTTGAAATTATGCCGAATATTAAAGTTTTTAGTGGTTCTTCGCACGTCGATCTTGCACAGAAAGTCGTCGATCGGTTAGGGATAGATCTTGGGAAAGTAGTGTTAAAAAAATTTAGTAATCAAGAGACTAGGTAAGACCATGTGATTATTTTATTACTACTACTCTGATTCTTGGTCACTGTGAGTATTGAATGTTTGAATATAATTTGCTATGCAATCATCTGGTAATTATGCTTTGATATCTTATATTAATTTTATATATGTATGAAATATGTTTTCGAAATAATTCTCAGGTCGACAGATTTATTGCGTAATACGTTATGAAATTAGCAGCTGATAGTAGACTTTAGATTAAATCTAAAAAGTAATCATAAGATTTGAACCCTTCCAATGTTTTACAGCTGTATTAAATGCGTTATTCTGAAATTTTGTGTCTGATATGCTTAAACATGTTATTCAGTGGATGTGCTAATCGTTCGTTCAGCAGTTTTATTAAGGTATTAATGAAGTGTGATGACAATGAAAAATTATAAATTGTAATGGAATATTTGTATTTGCCTTGATGATAATAAATAGATCCCAATTTTTTAAAACATTCTGATTTTGATATAAAAGCTGTGTTAGAAACATGTGGTTGAATAAAAACACGCGAAAATACTTACTAAAATGAAATTTTTAAAGCCTTCAAGCTAGATTTTTATATATTAGTTTTTTTAAACTATAAATGCTATTACAGTACTATTAAGAATTATACGTTACATCGTGGTATGCCATAGTCTTATATTTTTCCAGACTTGGTAGATTAAGATAAGATGTTTTTAGTATTTTTAGAATGCAGTGGCATTATATCAGAGCAAGCATAAGGAACTGGCTGCACTGGAGATACGGGCCAGTCACCAAGTTAAGCAAAATCGTGGCAAATCTTTTTTTTTTTTTTTTTTTTGACGTAATGAAAATCGTTAGGGTTTAGAGTTAAAGTTTGTATTACTTAACCAGGCTTTTTGAATACGTGGCATTTCAGTATTTGTGGCTTTACATGCGTTGTTTCCTTTAACCAGGCTATTTGAGATGCTGGTAAGAGAGTGATAATATTCGCGCCGGCACAAGCAAGTATCAGTGTATCATATTTAACCGGGCTTTTTGAATACGTGGCATTTCAGTATTTGTAACTCTACATGCGTTGTTTCCATTAACCAGGCTATTTGAGATGCTGGTAAGAGAGTGATAATATTCGCGCTGACACCAGCAAGTATCAGTGTATCAATATTCGTCATTTCAACTTTGCTTCTCATGAATATTGTGAGCAAAATGGCTGGCGTCGAAAGAGCTGAACGTGTGAATTTTGCTTATTTCATTTGGTTTTAGGATAAGGGCGAAAGAAGTGTAATAGAATGATTCATAAATTATAGCCTGATTTCGAATGTGTATGAATGCCCCAAGTGTAAAAATAGTATGAAATTAATTGAAAGGTAAGATGCGACTTATTTGTGTGAATGGAGGTGTGTGTTCATTATGCATGATTGATTAATACAGTTGAAATACGGGAATTGATTAGTACAGATTTTGATTTAAATATAAATCACAATAAAAGTAATTCTCATTAGATGTAAGTATATTGTATGTGATTAAGAGCTTGGTTGAAATGAGCGCGCCATTTTGAATTTTATCTTCATTGTATTGTTATATTTTAGTATGGACATAAACAAATGTGGTTTTCTACTGCTTATTGAAAATATAAATTTATGGTAAAAATATAAATTTAGTTGTTAAAAACTGTTTAACCACTATTTTGTTTTTTACTACACTATGGGTGATGCTTCAGTCAATCGAAATTTTGAATTTTATCTTTGTTTCGATTATCGTTTGCTTAAAGCATTTTTGTAAAGTTTTACCTCATATATGAATCAACGTTTTCTTGCTATTTATTGCTTACAGTTTCTTAAATTTTGTGATAAAACATTTTACACCCTTTTGCTATGTTTAAAAAATGGTATATTGTTGATCTCATAAAGTGCATAGTTATTAACTTTAAAAAAATTCTTGGTTGTTTTTCTTGAACTTCTGTGAATTCTTTGCACAGCATTCATTCAAATTCACAACCATGATGAGTTAGCGATTTTCTAAAACGCAGAAAAATAACCTATTTGGCGAATCGGTGATTTTTCGAAAATGCGCCAAACTGGCCCATAAAATCCAGTTTTACCATGCAGTCTTTTCCAAAATAGTGTTATGCAATTTTTTTGTTAAGCTAGATGCTGTTTCCCATATGTTACTCAGATCTCTTCCCCATTGGGATCCTGCTATGATATCATTAAAGGCCAAACCTAAATCCCCTACAACTAAGCTCAGTACTCAAACCAGATAAGACAACCCAACTTCAGTTAAAGACACTATTAGAGAAATTCTCAAATATCACTTTCCCAATGATACTCAAGACGAAGACACCCAACATCACAGGGAGCTAAGGAGATCAGCAAGCAGCCTTCCAAACATCCCAAGTGATCTCCCCTTCACTACTATAGAAATTCAAAAGATAATAGAAACTTATCAAAAGGGGCGAAGCTCTTGGACAAACTCAATATAGACTTTTTCGGAGAATTGAGAACCGCAAAGGAAGACTAACACGATTACAGTCAAAAACGTCGTGGAGAAAACAATGCAAGGCCGAAAATTTCATGGTACAAAATATGGTGGAAGAAAACATCGTGGTAGAAAAATAAAGTACCTATAAATCATTGCACATTTGAAATCTCATGCTGACATATTATGTAACTATCTTTCACCATAATTAACAAATCGACATCCAAAAAATTTAATGCACGCTATGCATGAAAATGTTAACACCACTTTACGAATAAAAAAAAAAATATTTTTCAGTAAAACAATATCAGATTAACAAATGTGAAAGAAAATAGGTTGATCATTAACAAAGCACTTTTTATAGTGCAGTTATTTATTTTCCTTTTTCTAAGCATTTTTAGACTGTATTTTTTATACAAAAAAATATTTAAAAAAGGTTAATTTATTAATGACCTTTGTTAATTAACTATGTAAATTAAGAACTCTTAAGTTCTATATGTTGCATTAATTTCCTACTTATTTTTAAATTTTAAATTTAAGTTTCCTTCTTATTTTTTCAGCAAAAATATATTAGTTTGTTAAAAAATATGAAATATAGCAGTAAAAGAATCCCTCTTTCCTTCTTGCGCTCCCAAATCATTATACGAACATGCATTTACAACTTTTAAAACCTGAAAATGTATGTGTGTGATGTTATCGTGATACGATGATTTGTAGTACTTTATATTTTACCACGATATTTTCAATGATGATGTTTTTGAACTGTTTTATTTTCAACCACGATGTTTTAGAACTGCGATGTTTTCCCTTTGCTTTCTTTTCCCCCTAAATGTTTTGTACCACAAAGTTTTCACCTTGCATTGTGTCCTCTGTGACATTTTTGTTCACGATGCTTTCGGCAGACACCAACTAACATATCTCTTTAATGCATGCCTTTAAAAAGGCTACTTTCCAGATGCCCGGAAGAATACTGATCTTGTTCTTTTCAAGAAAGAAAGAAGAGACAGTAAGCATCTGAACACATAGAGACCTATCTGCTTCCTCTCTGTCTGGAGAAAAGTCCTAGACAAACTTATAACCAGATGTCTCACTTTCCACCTGGAGAAAAACCACTTCATAAACAAAGCGCAGTATGGCCTCACAAAGGGAAAGAGCACCATCGACGCTCTATACAATGTACAAGAACAATTACACCATAACAAGCAACGAGGTCTCGACATGTGTGTTGTCTCCTTAGATGTGGTCTCAGCCTTCAACTAACTCTGGTGGCCAGCCATCGGGAACCAACTCGAACATCTTCAATGTCCTAAGAATCTCTTTTGGATCATAGGCAGTTATCTTCACAATTGTAAAGTCACTTACCAGCGAGATGGAGTTAGTGTCACCACGACTACTACAGAGGTTCCCCGAAGGCTTTGAAGAAAATGCACAAATCCAGGCTTACACCGACGACTTTATCCTAATCATTCAAGGAAGTAATCGCACCGAAATAGAAAACAAAGTGAAAAAGGCATGCATTAGATCTTATTACTGACTGGAGCCTCAAACTCAAGCTTTAATTCAGCATTGATAAGACAAAAATGATCACATTTCCTAAGGGTAATAAACTTATAAATAGCCCACCTCGTATAAAATTACAGGGCCGAGTACTAAAAAGTAAAGATACTGTAAAATACCTAGGATTCTTACTTGATAGAAAACTTGCCTGGGTACTGCTCTTGATGATATGAAATAAAACCTGCAATCTTATTAATAGCTTAAATCACATCGTCTCAAATAAATGGAACCTAAAAGAGCAACTTTTGAAAGAACTCTATCTGCAGGGCATTGAAAGGATGATCCTTTAGGCCTTCCTCATCTAGATGACTGTCACAGTAAGGGTTCATCAGAAGCTACTTCAAATTCAACACATCATCCTTCTCTAGATCACTAAGTGTTTCACTACCACATTCACAGCAGCTGTTCAGTTCTTATCAGGGGTTCTCCCCATAGACTTCAAAGCAGAAACTGAATGTGGCACTTACAAGTTAGTTCATTTTAAGGACCCCTTCCAGCTTGATGACGTATCATTCATAGACCAGCTCTCCTTAGAACCACAATGCCACTATACTTCTGTCTACCCAGTTCTCACGAAAGATCTTAAATGGCCTAAACATCTACCTAAAGGACAGGACGTAGAAATCTTTTCTAATGGGTCTAAAGTTTCAGAGCAAGTAGGTGCAGCCTGTGTCGCTTTCCACAACAATACAGAAATTCACTCAACAGGGTTCAGACTTAGCAATCATGCCTCGATTTTCCTGGCTGAGTCCTTTGCCTTAAAGAAGGCAGCTCTCTGGGCTGCTCTGGCATCCATCAGCTTCTACACGAACAGCATGAGCACTCTAAGCACCCTGAACAAAAACAGCATGCAAGCCCTCCACATCCTCATTAAAAGAAGTGCTTATTACCCAGTATTTTTTCAGACAAGTGTCATTAAGTTAACGAAAGGGCCAACTCTTTAACTAAAGAAGCCACAAACCACCCTTCCATCAACTCAGATCCCACTCTATAGTTGCTGCCAAACACAAGATCTGCGCCTTCATGTACATCTGGCAAGCTCCCTGGGATGACTCGGAGACCATTCAACACACCTTCTCCATCTTTTCCATGGTCTTCACCAAGGGGCTCAAAACAGACTTGTACCTACAACAAGCTTTCACAAATCACGGAGGATTTCCCATGTACCTGAGTAGGTTGTGCCATCAAATGTGCCTGCAGTGCCTCAGCTTCTTTAGCAGACATCTCACATTACATCCACGACTGTCCATTCACTTCTCCCATCCTCAGCTCCAGGGATCACATAGCCTCAAAGACCTTCTTCAGAATTACTACATACAACGGGGCATGACACCTTTCGAAGCCATATTTATGTAGTTTTGTGCTGGCTTTAGGGAGAACCAGTCAGAGGACTTTGAAAATGTGCAAGTTAGTTTTACAATTTAAACATTACTGCACTCAAAATTGGCAGATTTTAAATTCTATATGAGAAAAAAAAAACATATGTACAAAACATGGGACCACAAATTCGATTAAAAATATAGTAAACGTTAAAATTACTGCTGTACATGTAACAAATAAATAAATAAGTAAAATACATCCTTTATCAAAAATGATCCTGCACAATTTTTTTTTTTTTCTTCTGAGTTTGCAGTACTAAAAAGGAACAAATGTAGTTTTTATGTTTCTTGTGTTTGGGAGTCTTAATGATTTTGTGTTTGACGGCAATTATGGAGAATGGAATTCTTACTTGAGCCTTGGCTATATTTCCACGCAGACTTACTAGGTGGCAGGGCTGTGTTTAGCAACACAACTGTTTGAATTGTCACATTCGTTAAGTAACACAATGGATTCTGATTCTGAGAAAAGAGGGCACATTAAGTTCAGGAAAACCCCTAGTGAAACGTGGAACATAATTAAGCAAGCATATGTAGGTGAGCACTTTCAAGAAGGCGTGTTTTAAAGTGGTACAAAAAGTTTCTTGAAATCTGGATTTAGTGAAAGATGATCCCAGAGCTGATCGCTTGTCTATAGCACATACCAATGCAAAAGTGGAGAGTGTAATGCAGTTATTGAGAGAAGACCATTGTGTAACTGTGCGTGTGTGATATCAGAACTGAATTTGAATCGTGATGTATGTTGTAAGATTTTACACAAAGATTTAGGGAAATGGAAACTTGGTGCAAGAATCGTTCCCAACTCATGAACAGAAAGAGGAAAGACGATGAATTTCTGCTGAACTCTTGGATAGAGCCAGATGTGATCCCACGCTTGTGTCAAAGATTATTGCTTTTTTTTCCTTGTTCCCATGAGTTGAAAGGAAAGCTTCATCAAAATTCTTGCAGACATCCAATGGGCTGTGACAAATAAACTTAGCATCACAGTTGAAGATTTCCCTGCTCTCTCCAGAAGCATTGGCAGTTGTGTATAGATAGCTGAGGGTAGCAGCTAGGATCATTACTTGGTAAATGCAGTTTTCTATTTTTTAGGACCTTTGTCCTGGAACTTTTCTGACAAAGGATGTTGTATACAACAATACAGAAAAATAATAATGCAGTCAAAAACGATTAAAATATTTGCAAACATTTTCAGCACTATGAACATAACTGAACTCTGCTTAATTTTTCATTGTTTTCCCTCTTAGCCCAGTATATACGTCTCTTTATGTTGCAAGAAACAAAATCCACTTCTTTTAGAAACACCACGCAGTACTTGAAAGGCATTGTGCTATTCATAAATAAGTACTGTTTGGTTGTTGATTGAATTGAAAATGGAAATAATACCAGATATTGCAAGAGAAGCTTTCATACTTTACAATGCTATACATAGAAATGGATCACCCTTTATACGGCCTAAAATATTTTTTTTTGATATCTGTAATAACATATATATGTGCATATTAAAATATTTCTAAAAAAATTAGGAAACATTATAAGTATACAAATCCAGGTATAAAATACCTGAAGTTTTATGTTAAAATCAAGAAAATAATTTTTTCTCATAATAGTTTTGGGAAATGTGTGCTTTTTTAGAGAAAATCCTGGCCGGTCAGAGGGTTAACTACATGAATATTTTTTTCAAAAAAACTGCATGTCTCCGATGTAAAAATGTGACATTTCTATCTTCAGCTATTGATAATAATTTTGTGAATGAATTAGAAAATACTTTATACAGAATCATGTTCATTTAGAATTCAAAAAATAAAATAGTAAATATGATTTTGAATTCTCTTTTTATGTACAGTCAAAAAGTCTTTAATCCAGACGTCCACAATCCAGAATGATCTACAGTCCGGACCTCAAAGCTACAAATTTTCTGCACATGCGTAGTGTTTACCTATGCGCATAATACCTTTCTGCACGCGCATATGCGTTTACGCATGCACGTAATACGTTTACGCTTATCTAATTATCTATTTCAGTTAATGTTGCAGATTGCCTTGTTCCTTAATCTTCTAATTTGATCCGGCTTATTATTTTTTGCAGACCGTTAGAGCAATTTTATAAAAGTAAGCTTGAACTTTCGATTATGTCAAAAAGAACTTCCGATTCTGAAGCTGCCAAAGGATCTACAAAGCGAAAGCATGTTTCGATGTCCATCAAACAAAAAGTGGAATTGCTGCAAAAAATGATTTAAATCAGATTCCTTGTCATTATAAATATCACGAATACACATCAAATAGTTTTCTGGTTGCAATTTTCTAATTTCGACTATGCGTAATGTATGCTTTACGCACGCGTGCGTTGAAAGAAATGTTTAATAAAGTAAGCAAATATATATTAAGCTTTTTTTTTTTGTAAATTTTAATACCCTTTAGATCATAATTGCTCTTTATTTCATAAATTACGGTTTCATATTTTTAATTTTATAATTTCTGCATGCCATCTTATCAGATTTAAACTGATGATCCAGAATCCGGAAAAACCGATAATCCGTAATCGCCGAAGTCCCGATGAGTCCGGATTAAAGACTTTTGACTGTAGTAATTAAAATGATATGAATGAAGCATTGTCTTGCATCGTGAATTTTATAAATTTATATTTATTATTTTTTTCTTATCGAAACATTTTAGTGTAGAAATTGGGGAGTCTGTCCGAGGTGAAGATGTGTACATTATACAAAGTGGCTGTGGTGAAGTGAATGATAATCTAATGGAACTTTTAATTATGATTAATGCATGCAAAATAGCATCAGCTTCTCGAGTTACAGCTGTCATACCATGCTTTCCATATGCAAGACAAGACAAGAAAGACAAGGTGCATACATATTATTATTTAAAATCTATAAAACAAAAGTTTATAAATTAGAAGAAAAATTTATAAATTCTCTAAATTGAATTTAAAAATTGAGAAACTGTTAAATTTTATAAACAAGTAAGTTCCAAATCGAAATTATGTAAAAAAATTGAAAAGTTTTTATACATTTTTTGAAGAATTAAAAAATTTCTAATATGCGATTTAATTATTCATATTTTAATGCTTTAAATTGACTTATCAAGTGGTTATAACTTAAAGCATTAAAACTAGAACAATTAAGTAGTATTGAATTCACGTTTCTTTCTAGTTTACTTTTTTATCAATAAAAATAAAGAAAAAATAATTAAAACAATTTCAATACAATTACATTTACATCCATTCTAAAAAAGTCCAGTAATTACACCAACATGAATTTCATTATCAACATATTCAACAAAATGCTACAGTATATTTAAAAAAAAAAGTAAGATTACAAACAATAAAATAATTTAAATAAAACCCCCTTGATAAGTCAATTTGAAGCATTAAAATATAAATAATTAAATTTCATATTCAGTTTAAAAATTTAGAATTACCTCAAAAAATTATAAAAACTTCTCTAAAATGTTTTTCATAAAATTTCAATTTGGAACTTATATATAATATATATTTTTTATAAAATTTAACAGCCTTTTCTATTTTTAAATTTAGTTTGAAGAATTTTCCAAGATGATGTAGTTTATTTTCTTCTAATTTACAAATTGTAAGTTTTTGTTAAAGTTTATGCAGCTTTAGAACTTGATTTTAAATTTTAAATTGTTTAAATCTCATTTTAGAACATAGTCTGTTAGTTTTTGTTAATATTTTAAATGCATTATGTCAAGATTATTTTTAAAACTATTCTGAAGGTCACATTTTTTACTAAGGATTAAGTAAGAGATTTTTAAAAACTGAAACCACTTTTTTGTGTTTTTAAACTTATTATTATTATGTTTGTTTATGTTGTAATTTAAAGTTTTTCATTAAAGCTAAACAATATGTTTATTTTTAAGTTTCTTGGCATCAGATTTAAAATATAGATGATCTTGCCAAAGTTTTTACAGAGTGTATATTGTTGGAGAACTATTCTCTTTTTCTAATTTAATTTTAGCAATTTGATTATATAATTTGAATTTATAATTCTTGCTAATTTGTTTTAATTTCTATAGTATATGCTTTTGGAAAAATTGCTGTATCTTCATTCCCCTACTAAAAATTAGTTATTTATTATAATTCTAAGATACATCCTTAATAAAATGATGCATATATTCTTAATATTTTCAAAATGCTATTGAATAATTTCAAAATATTAATTAGAGGAACAGCAAAAAAGAAAAACTAATATAATGTAATATAACTGTTAATATGAAATATGTGTCAATATGACTTTTAGTATGCAAAGCCTAGTTAGCTCTAAGGAAAAAAAAAGAGGGAATTACTCTTATATGCATCCTCAGGTCGCCAAACATTTTTAGCGAGAAACTGCAGGCTGCCATATTACTATCTAAATTTTGTGTCTACATTTCGAACTTTAAGCGTAAAATGTCTCCAAAAACGTGGTTTTTCACACATGCAAAAACCACGTTTTGAACACACAATTTAAGCCAAAAATCCAAAACAAAAACAAAAAATTTAGATAGCAAAAACATAAAGTTTCTAACCAGAAATATTTGACAAGAAGGCATGCACACAGCGATATATTTTAACTTAAAAAAACATCTACAAATCGCACAATCTAGGCAATGAATGAATCTACGAACTACGTACACCTCACTTTAATAAATTAACATAACAACAATAAATTTAAAAGAATACCATGTACACAGCATCCTGTTTAAAGAAAGCATCTACAAATTGCACAAGCTAGGCACTGCACACAAATTAACCAAATAAACTAAATTACAAACAATTCAAAAAACAACAATAACAACAAAAATTCACAGTAAAAAAAAATGAACAAAACATTCTGCAAAATAAAAACAGTAAAATAAAATGCACTTACCACAATACATTCCTGAATAAAATTTCGCCAGTCACACGTCTCGGAACAAAAGTTCTACAATTTTGCTTCAAAATTTCGAAAGTAACGATAAAAACTTCCTCCAAAGTTAACTTACTACACCAAAACCACAATCCAGCTTTTAAACTCCACTGACAGTCACATACTTTACCAGCAACCATTTGATTGCAAATCTACACAAGTCTATCAGAAACGCCCTTCTTCGTTTAAGTTCTCATAGCAGCTCTGCATTTTGGACTCCGTTTTAAAAGTCACACAGAAATTCCAAAAATACACTTCAATTCTCATTAACTTACCATGAACAAAAGGCTCGTTAACAACTCCAACATCGTATCGTTTAATACTAAATTTACTTTCCGCACAATCTAAAATACGCAACAGAAATCTTCCCACTACATCTATCATTGCAACATAGGCCATTTCAAAACATGCACGACAGGAACCAACAAGCAATTAAACCACTCCAGGAAAACATTTTTCAATGTCAACAGGGTTGCCATACAACATGCAATCGTACCAAAAACCAGTGCAGAACACATATCGCCACATTTGGTGAAATTAGGGTGCATATAAGGGTAGAGCAAAAAAGAGTTTACTCATTTTGAGTATAGAGCTACACTTTCATCTGCACTTTTACTATAGATTTCCTTTAACGTTATGTGACAGATGGGCCTCAATATTACAGAAGTAATAATTTCTCACGTAAGGTTCTCACTTGATGGTACAGAAGTCATAGATAATGGTGACACATTTAAATTTTCAATATGTTTGTAGCCAGCAGATAGTAACTTGATTTCTGAGACTGTCCCGCTGTCGGTCAACCGAAAGGTAACAGTTTTGCGGTTCCACTGCTGAATAGCAATATATTTTCTTATAGTAAACCAAAGGAGCTATATTCTGCTGGAACATGGACGTGCTCAGGTGATTTCAGCAAAATGTTCCACAAGGGCAGAATTTTAAAATTGCAAGATTTTTTATAAAGCGAAGTCAGGACAAAAATGTATGTCACAAATTAAAGCATAATGCCATTATTTAAACAACCAAGAAACAGTCTAATGCTAACAAACTTGTACATTCTGGAATATTTTATCTCCATTCTGAGGGTTTTCTTCAAAAATTCATTATTTTTCTTTATGTGTGCTTAGAATTCTTTCAACAGTTCAGCAGTATTTTGTTTTATAAGTATTTTTGATTTTAGAACATTAATATTTTCAATTTGCTGCATATTATTATTGAAGTATATGCTCAGTTATTGCATCTGTTTTCAGTTAAGAAGAGTTCACTCATTAGTATTACAAATTTGACGGAAATGTGATTACTTCGAAAACAAAAATTCTTATCCATTTAGTCTCAGTTCCAATTTTGTACAATACTGTATCTATTGTTTAAATTTTCTTCTGCTATACATTTTTGCATAATATTTCATTGAATAATGTATTATTAGATCCTTGTCATTTTACATTTTTAAAATTGAGCTTTCCTGCACATTTTTTCATTCTGTAGTAGTTATCAAAGTATACAAAACTCTAAAGATTATTTAATTATATTGCCAATTTTTCCAAGTACTAAATGCATCTGTCTTGCAAATGGATAAATTCTTCAGGAATCATTCTACATAAATAATTGATTGCTTTGGGTCCATAAAAAATATCTCCATGATTATGTAAAATACAGCTTTTAAAATTTGTGTTGACTGTCTAAACAATTTTGGAATATTTACAGAATCGGAATATATCCTAAAGTAGTATAGAGTTTCTTAAACTTTCTTTAAGTAGGGACCACTTTTATAAATTAGAATATTCTGTGGACTATCTTATTCCTTGCAATAGCAGTTTTTTAACATATGTTGCTACTTAAATACATATACTACATATAAGTTTTTAGAATACAGTTATTAATATTTGATTAATTTTTTATCAATATTAAGTAATTAAAATTAATAGGAAAAATTCATATTTATTTTTAATAATTCAAGGCTTTTAAAGTTTATATAATCTTTACCTTATTAACTAAAAATTAAATAAATAAATGTTGATACTCACAATTAATGAGATGGACAAACATGTTATTTCTTGCATAAGTCTTCTATGTTTGGATGTATATAAGTAAGCTTAAAATCGATGCATGCGTCAAATCTACATAAGTACTTTATTTGAGTTGATGATGGAAACCGTTTCTCTAACAGAAAGAAGGAAACAAAATTAGTTTTTAAGCCATAATTGTAGAGTTTTCTCTATTCTGTTTTCCTTGGCAATGAACCTAACGGTGAGAGATGTGCAGAGAAACGAATACTAATCATAGTGCGGCGAGAAGCATCACAATCGTTGTGCTTTAAATTCCTCTTAAGACTAGAATGGGAAGGTAAGGCTAGTTTAACCCATAATAAATTTCATAAAATGACTGTCCTGGGAGAAAAGGGGATATCTTCTTCTTCATAAGGTCCACAGCCTATTACATGCGGAGGCTGTCTCTCCAAGTTTCCTCCACCTGACACCTGTCGGCACTATAGTCTTCCGTTGGTTAATTCCAATTAACCTTAAATCTTGCTTGACATCACTCCGTCAATTCTTGAGAAGGTTATCTTTTTGGTTGGAAATGCATCATCATATGCAAACACATGGCTTAGCCATCTGATACAAGATGCCTTTGCAATTCTCACAATATCAGTTTCACCATATTTCCAATTTTTTCCATATAGTTCATGATTATAAAGAATCCTCCACATACCATTTTGTTGTACCGGTCCAAGGATCTTTCTTAGGATTTTTCTTTCAAAAGTTGATATCAGGTCTTTCTCTGCTAAGTGATAGATCATTACAACGTGTAATTTTCATACTTTAAAGATTTTCAGCTATAGTGTATATGCGATATATTTAAATTTTATTTTTGTCTTTCTTGGAAATCTAGGAAAACCGCAAGGGTGGGCTTTGAGGACCATTTCGGGTCTGAAGGCTGCAGTTTCAGAAATGCTGAAGTAGTGCATTAAAAATGAGTCCTGAGGGACTGCCTTAAAATCTGGGTCTGTACTGTACAAACAGTGATGTTTGGTCATTTTAGATTTACGTGGCGGAGGACCCCTGAATATACTGTCTTCTATCTATATATAAATTAATTAATTGTTTATTTTTAGTAAAATATTACAGTCAAAAGTCGTTAATCTGGATTCATCGGGACTTCGGCGATTCCAGATTATCGATTTTCCCGGATTATAGATCATCAGTTTAAATCTGGTAAGATGGCATGCAGAAATTATAAAATTAAAAATATGAAACCGTAATTTATGAAATAAAGAACAATTATGATCTAAAGGGTATCAAAATTTACAAAAAAAAAGCTTAATATTTATTTGTTTATTGTATTAAACATTTCTTTCAATGTAAGTTGTTTAAGTTGCTTCGTTTTTTATGTGATAATACATTCTCTTTAATTCTTTAAACAGACATAATTTCTTGTTCAGTTACAAAGTTCTGCTGTTCAAGTCCTATAATTGCTGTGTCGAGAATACCGACTAATTTGTCAATTGAAATTTTTTCATTTTCAATAACCTCTGTGTCACTTTCTTCGCTATTGGAAGCGAATTATAATGACAAGGAATTTGATTTAAATCATATCAAAGATGGAGTACATCGAGATGAAATACTACATTTAATAAGGAATTATAAGCCAACTAAAATAAAAACATCTGCCCTGAAGATAAGGATAGTGCTGACAGATTAACTTCCAAGCCGCAGCTTTAAAGATAAACAAAGTTTAGATAAACAAACGTTAAAGTTTAGATAAACAAAGGATATGCCTTTATCCATTTTTTTGTAGCAATTCCACTTTTTGTTTAATGAACTTCGAAACATACTTTCGCTTTGTAGATCATTTACACATTAATAAATATATATCAGAAATTTTATTTGACATAATCGAAAGTTCAAGCTTACTTTTATAAAATTGCTCTAACAGTCTGCAAAAAATAATAAGCCGGATCCAATTCGAAGATTAAGGAACAACGCAATTTGCAACATTAACTGAAATAGATAATTAAATAATTTTAGCTTAGCTTATACCGTCCGTTATACATTAAACGCGCACTCGTAAATGTATTTTGTGCATGCGCACAAGCATATTCTCAGCCGTACTTATAGATCTTACAATATCTAGTGATATTTTACTTTACCCAATTTATATAAAAAATAAATATACTGCTCTACACTATATGAAATATAGTTTAAGATATCTACTGCTGTTTTGGAAGCATTTGAATTATAGATCATTCCAGATTATGGGTGTCCGAATTAACGACTTTTGACTGTATAGTCAATTGTTGCAATGCATTACAACTAATCATTTCAAGTACTGAAAGTTATTTTAATTTTTCCTGTTTACCAAAGATCATCTGCATTTATTGTATTCACATGTATTGTATTTTATTCAAATAATTTAATACTTTTGTTAACAAAAATTTAATTTTGTAATTTTGAAGAATTTATTTTTGTTGTCACTGCAAAGTTTTCTTGAGAAAGTAGCTTAGCACCCATGGAAAATTTATGATATATAAAAATTTAATGAAGTTTCTATCACTAATATATGTATGCAAAATATATTGATCAAATATCTGTTTATACAAAAAATAAAATGCAAATGCTAAAATACATTTGTATGAACAATATATGTATAGTGTGCAGGAAAGAAATGATAAAAAGTAATAACACATATATTGGAAATCAGTGTGTTTGTTGCATTGTTGATTTACATGGCAGGGGAAAGCTCAAAGTTTGTGTCTCCAGGAAAACTGGTATAGAGCCAACTTGATTGATTTAGATTTCTTTATATGGCATTCACAGGATATGACCTCTTTAGACTTTTCTCTGGTGGAAGTTTGTGAAGTAATTAGTATACCGAACATCTGTGGCTAATGTTGCAGATTCGCATCCCCAAATTAGAGAGATAATGGAAGGATAAGACTACTTATTCCAGTGATACGTTCAAACATAGAAAATGAAATAAATGAAGTATTGTTTAGAACAGGGGTTCTTAACCAGGAGGGAAACCCCCCCTTATGGGAAAATTTATAGTTTCAGGGTGGAATGAAATCAGCCTTTTATTTACTTGTAATTATTTAGTTTTGTGTTTTTCTTACCAATCTCACTTATCTAACATAGGTCAGCACAAACCCATGACATTCATCGTGGCAAGGAGTCATATGCATTGTTGCTAAATAACCTTGGCACTATACAGGGTGACAGCCCGACTTTAGCTCAGTTCCACTTCCAGTTTTGAGAACATTTGGGGGGGGGCATGGGTCCGAGGATCTCGCACTATTCTCTCCCTACCATCAACCTTCTAGAAGACTTTTGGCTTGCTGCAGATTTAGAATGCCTCCATGCTGCACAGACACCATAATTTACAAATATCCATGCCTTCTTCGGGATTCGAACTCAGGTGCTTCTGTGTGGCAGTCAGAACCACCAACCACTATCTCGATGGGCATCTAGTATTTAGTTTTAGTTTATGAATATAAAAATCTATTTTTATTCAAGTTTTGGTATTTATTAGCATGTTCTATATTTTTTCTTATTTAATTTATAAAACATGTTAAATTTATTAATCTAGAAACATGTCTTATTAATCTATAAACAAAGATAGATTAACTCTTATTTAATCTATAAACATGTCTTAATTTAAATAAACATATGTATTTTTTCCGAGTTTCGGAAAGAAGGGGGGATGATTGTCGAGCAGTGATGAAAGGTATGCATGGGACAAAACAATGTTGAGAACCCCTGGCCTAGATAAAGCTCAAACTGTTAATCACACTCCATAGAAAACTTATTTCTAACTATGTAAATCAAACTGCATTTAGTACATTGATTTTGGATATGTGCAATGTTCTTTTTTTCACTTCTTATTTTCCTCTTAATGTATTTAATAAAATACAAGTAAAAGGATTTCAAATTTTAAAAAAAAAAAATATTTATGGAAAATCAGTGTTGTGGTCTCAGCACCCAAGATAGGTATTTGAGGAATTTTGACACCTTATGTTTAATAAATTTGTAGTTGCTGCATTTTTGCACTATTAATGAGTATTGCAATTTTGCAAAATTTTATCTGTTTGGTACTTTATCGTGTTTGGTTGTTTAGTTTTATTACATTTACACAATACAATTACATTTACAATAAAAAAAATTTTTAAAAAATGTTAAAAAGATTATCCCATCCGAGGAAAAAATTTTGGGAGGCATTATTGTTGCATCATGTTAATTGGTAGTTAAAGCTGGAGGAAATTTTTTCTGAAAAGGTATTTAAAGTTTGAAAAAATATATTAATGGGAGAAAAAAATAAAAACTTATAATACATACATACACAAATATAATGTAAATACTTTATTATTAACAAAAATCTTGTATTTTAGAGCCGTGCTCCTATTTCTGCTAAACTTGTTGCCAATATGCTCTCTGTATCTGGAGCAGATCACATAATTACCATGGATTTGCACGCATCACAGATACAGGTAAGTGAATTTTTTTCTTCATATAAATGTGTATTTTCTGTTAATAAATTATAAAATATTAATTATTTAAATCTAACTTTTTTTTAAACAGCCAGTTTATCATTTAACGTATTTTAATTCTTTTAGGGATTTTTTGATATTCCTGTAGATAATCTATATGCAGAACCAGCTGTTTTAAAGTGGATCCGAGAAAACATCGTAGAGTGGCGTAATAGCTGCATAGTTTCTCCTGATGCAGGAGGTGCAAAAAGGTAAACATTACCAAGCTGCATTATATTTCATTTTAAAGAACTTTTTTAATGTATTTGTAATTTACAGCAATGAATATCAAAAATCTCTGTGTGAGTAATTTTATCTCAAAATATGCTTCTTGCTTATGTAAAAAATCTATAATATTATCTGATTTCAGAGTGACTTCAATCGCTGATCGTTTAAATGTAGAGTTTGCTTTAATTCACAAAGAACGGAAGAAAGCCAATGAAGTTGCATCAATGGTATTGGTTGGTGACGTAAAGGATCGAGTTGCTATTTTAGTAGATGACATGGCAGATACTTGTGGCACGATTTGCCATGCTGCTGAAAAGTAAGTTGATTGATTAATACATATTTTCACATGCAATGCCATCTAATCTTGTGGTTTTTCGTTTTTGTTTGTTCATCTTCATCTACTTTTCAGAATATCTTTGTATAAATATCGCAGAAAATTATTGTTGGGAAATTTAATATTAAAAATTATGAGAACATTGCATAAGATGATGTATATAGCTTGGATTTTCAATCAGTGCAATTACAGAATTCTAGATAACAGCTTTCTTTTTATAATAATTTTAAAAAACTCAAGTTGAAAATAGAATATAAAATTGGCACATAGATTATACAGAAAGTCATGTCGTATGAAATCTACAGTTTTTTATTGCATGAAAAAATGTTGTAGATAAGTCAGGTTTTGTAAGGCCTTTGTCCACAAAAGCAGTGAAAATTGGCCAAATGGAAATTGCAATTTTGAGGAATGGACTTGTAGGAAAAGTGTGCAAAGTTAGTGATTAAACACTTCAGCAGTAAGATGATAAAGCCTTTTAATTTTCAACCGAAAAAATGGAATTGCTTTTAAAATATGTAGTAATGATTTGTGAGCCGTTGATTTTTGAGTAAGATCTGAAAAGACCATTATGACTATGTAAGCAATATACAGATAATCATGATAGATCAGCTAAAAGTGATCGCATTAAATAACTTCTGACACAACTAAAAAAGCAGCTGCTTTTCAAATGTTGTATAATTTAAAAAAAAACTGACTTTGAATATGATAATGCAAATATAAATCTTACAAATACGGAGTTTCTTCCTACATCTTGTAATGTTTGAAAAAGTTTTTCAGAAAGTTTACAATTTTATAGGTGTGTGAGAAGTTTTTAAAAAATAGAATTGTAGTATTGAGCTGGAGTGTGATGCTGTATAATGAACTGTATTTTAAATTATCTATCTGCAATAAAATCTATATTTTATTAAGAAGTTCATCAATTATTTTCTTAAATGCTGCAACAAAATGTTACAGTCTTCTATAATATGTTATCTATCTTTTATTGTAACTAGCAGTATATGAGCTCTTTTCATGAAAAAGAAAACTATTCTTGAAAGACAGATAAAGTATTGCAAAAATCCATATAAAGGAGAAAAAATTAATAATGGGGGGGGAAGACGTTGCTATTTTTTATTGTTCTTGTTTTAAAAAAAGATGAGGAGTTAGTTTTGTATATTCAAAATATGATAAACTTCAGATTTCAAAGTGTGCAGATATGAAAATATTGATCAGTTTGAGTTAAAAAATATTGATCAATTTGAACAAAAATCACCAAAATTTATAAATTGCATTAGAGACTGGAAATCATTATATTTTATAAAATCAGAGATATGGTAATGTGGTGTGTAAAATATTTAAGATTCTGGTCCAGTGTTGAAATTAAAAAATACTGAATATATGGTAATTGAAAAACTCAACTAAGTTTGGAAAAAGTTGGGACATTGTATTGAAGATCCACAGTAAATTTCATTTGAGAAATTATTTCCCAGCTTATGAATTATATTCTATTTAATTCAACTATTAAACAAGACTATGTGCAAAACATTGTTTCAACATTCAATTTAAAAAAAAAATTTAAATGGCTTCAAAGTGCAAACAGATTCTTACTTGAAGAATCTGTATGCCAGCACTGGACATTTTTATTGCTGCATTGTGCACCACACATAAAACTTTTTTATTGCTATAGATAAGCTATCGCAAACTCAAATTGCCAGTGGGCTATATGCAGGATCTGAAAGCAGTTGGTAGGCCAGAATTTTCTTTTTTACAAAATTAAGAAATTTTTATTAACAAAGTAAAAAAAAAAAATATTTTAAATGCATATTAAACTTTGTTTACTAAGTATCTTTCAAAACCTACATAAATAATAATATCACAAAGGAAGGAAATTTAGATTTATATATATTTTCCCTCTAAAATTTAAGTTTGGCACCTGCAAGACATCTTTGTTGGTTACACTTTGTAATACAAATATATTGGTAACTATTTTATTGCATTTGCAGACTGACGTTTGTTTAAAAAGAATTCTAATATGTTTAATTAATTATTAAATCACTTACTTTAAACTGAAAGAAATTATGAAAACATTTTAAAGTTCATAGAGAAAATTTTCCAAGTGGAATAAAACTTAAGAATTATAAATGACAAGTTAGTCTGTTTTCCTTATTTATTAAATTGTTCTTTGTCGCATAAATAAAAATACATATGTTTGTGCATAAGTAAAGAAACATATGTATGTTTGTGCATAAGTAAAGAAACACACGTATGTTTGTGTATTCTTTTATTTCTTACTACAGCTTAATTTTTAACTGTGAAAAAAATCTGTTCACCTATAAATGTATTCTCCAACAGAGTTATTATTCTTAGTGCAAAAGTTCATAACTGAACTTATTTTTTGTCAGATATGAATAAAAGTTAATAAAGTATGTATCTTCGCATCCTTAAATAAGATTTATATCACAGTGTAAATTAGCTTCATTTTCCAATGCATTTTTAATGCTAATTTTTTATTGCAATGAAAATAGTGTAAAGTTGGCCTTGTAACAAATTAATAATAATTAAAAATCACAAAAGCTTTGTAACAAAGTCGTAATTTTCTATAGATGAAATGTCTTCAGGGGCTGATGCGGCCCATGGGCTGTTAGTTTGAGACCACTGTTCTAGATAACTATGATATATAAATTCTTGCTTTTTAATGCCCTTTTTTTATATTTATTTTATTTTATTTTGAATGTGAGGGTCATTTACTTTATTTGTATATAACCTTTCCTCAATTTTAATCATAATGATCATAAAGAGAGGTGCCAACTTGAAGTAAATGGACTAAGTTCAGATTTTTAGCTCAAAGGGGCAGTTTTACCAGAAGGGTTATCAGTTTCATTTTGGCATTTTGCATTGATTCACTATAAATGGAGAATCACTTTTTAAATTGTTGGCCACCAAATATTAGAGCTCTGTATTATATTTAAAGAAATTAAATAAGAATCTGCATAAATGTACGTATGTTTCTCACATTGTGATAAAACAATCTCATAGAGCCATCAAATTTTGAATAACATACATCTCCAGCCGAATATGGGCATCTAGAAGCCCAAATTTGGAATATGTTTTATTATCTATTTTATATGTTGTAAAGCATTTATAAGTTTTCGATTAAGAAACTCAATGGTTTCAAAGTGAGCAATGGCATCACTGTATGGGGGGGGGAATGAGACTGTGTATTGGAAATTCTAAAGATACGCTCTTTTAAATATTTTCTTATATTGCTATTGAATTGGATTTTATGATTTAATTATGAAGAACATGATATTTAATAAATAAAGGTTACAAACAAAATGTTAAAAAAAGGCGTAATATAAAATCTGAAATGAAAATATAAAATCTGCCATTTGGGCATAATATAAAATCTGAAAGCTTTCAGATTTTTTTCCCCTGATTTTAATTTAATATGTGTAAATTATATCAAAAATTAGAATATGAATTCAAGTCTCCCGTGTTAAATTTTTAGATTAATGGAAGCCGGTGCCTGCAAAGTCTATGCAATACTTACCCATGGGATCTTTTCGGGTCCTGCAATATCCCGAATAAATAATGCTTGCTTTGAAGCAGTTGTTGTAACGAACACAATTCCTCAAGAGCAACACATGAAAGAGTGCCCTAAAATACAGGTAAGTCATACCGATCATTTAAATATTCATGCATTTAAAATATTATTCATTGACATAATTATAAAATTATGTTTGCATCTATATGTATGTGTGTTATGAAATCCCATATTTTCAATTTTTTATTATTTTACATAATAATAGCAAGGTCTGAAAATTTATCCATTGAGGGGGGGATTATAATTTTTTATGTTACATGAATCTTTAACTAATAACATCTGCCCTCTTTATTTTTCTCATAAAGAAATTTACTTCGTATTCTTGTAAATATTGCTGTGCATTATAGAGAAAAATATTTTTGAAGTTTCAGTACTTCAAAGAAACTGGCGACCTTGATTAAACAGTAAAGACAGAATAATACCAGTCCTTGAAGATAACTTCTTATCTGGCATTGCTGATTGAAAATTACACAAGAGAAATTTCCACTGAAAATCTCTCTTAGTTATTTATTTATTTGCTGCTGAATGAAACTGAATATGAAAAACATATCATGTAGAACTGAGCAAAAGATGTTTAATTATTTTTTTTACAATGATGGGAATTAAAAGACAGGAAAAGGAAAATACAATAAACTGCACTGCTTTAGAAACCTAAAATCATTTTCTGTAGAGTACAACAGCAATTACAAAATCTGGATAATTCAGCAACTTTTTTAAAGTACTTTTTTTATGCTGGTTCAAATTAGATTAAAAAAAAAAAAAAAACTTGCTGTTCTTAGGATAGCTGTGCCACTCATTCAAATTTAACTCTGTGATTTGATTTGCACAGGTATGGGGATCTTCTCATGAAAACCTGTATTGGAACTGCATTTAATAGCTAAATTTTTATAATTATTTATTTTAGCCTCTGTTTTCATAAACTTCCATTCATTAAGATGGTACATAATTAAAGAAAGTAAGAAAGCAAAGAATTTTAAACTAAAACCTTATACATACCAAAAGACAAAAATAATCTCATGACTGGATAAAGGTGATCTTGCCACTCAAGGGTGTTAACAATTGAAAATATGACATGTTATGTGATGCTTTTGATCAGTAGTGGGTCGCAGAACTGCCTGCAGACTGAAATCTTGGAGAGGGCTTTGGTATTTGTAGTTGTCTCTTACTTTCCTGCAGCTGTATTATGAATCACCCACTGTGGTGCATTCTGGGAGACACTTTTAATGAAGAGCTGGTAACATGATGAATGAGTTTGACCATTCTGATTAATGTGTAACAAGCAAATGTTTGGCTATTGTAGGCCCTAACTGTGCAAGTGAATTTCAGCGATTACATGTGGATGTTATCAATAATTTTAAATTGTTTTGCCATAAACATTTGGTAAAGAGAGCACTGGTAAAAACTACAATGGTAAAATAAAGGATTATTTAAGTTGTCCATGAAGCATGCATAAGTTTTTTTTTCATCATGACAGTTTCTAACTGGGCTCAAGTTCCGTCACTCTGAAAGCTGTCAGTTCATGATATACCTACAGAAGAATGAGAAATTATAAATGTCTTCTGTTGATAATTATGCATTAATATAAAAAGCCCAAAGCATTTTTAAATTGTTAGAAGAAAATCATAATAATCATTCTAAAAATGAAGAAATTTCCTACATGATGACAAAAAGCTACAGTAACATCCCAAATTATGTTAAATAACGTGATCCATAAACTTTTATGCAATTTGAATTTGATGTAAATCGAATTAGTCAATTCAAGTGAAACTTTGTAAGTGAACAGGTAGCATTTATTATTATTATATGTACATATGTATATAGGTATATCATTTACAAAAGTATTATTCTATAAATGAAGCATCATGCAGCAGTATTTACTTAGATGTATATTATAAAAATATAAATAAGAATATACAAGTAAAATTGAGATAGCATTTTACAAATGGCTTTCCAATACATAGCTGCAAATTTATATAAATGAATACTTTATTGTACTTGTAATTACATAACTGCTCATAAAAATGAAAGCTTACCTGCCATCTGATATTATTTTCATCATCTTAATCATAATTGTTGTGCAGTAAGATTTTATATTTCTTCAACAAACAAAATCAGTTTTCTGTTAAAATCAGCAGTCTAATAACAGTGCCTTGTTGTAATATAACAGCCCAAACTCCCATTTAATTCAAAACGAAAATGATCAGCTACATTCATCATGAATTCTTTGAAATGATATTTTAACAAGAACCAACTGAGCACAAAAATTACATTGATACTTCCCTGATAATTTGCAACATACCTTTGTATTGATATGACTAATTATAAATTTTACATTTTAATTTCAGTTTTAAAAAGTAATTCTGTTTGATTCAGATGTCATCAACCTGCTTGCTTATTTTTCTTTGTTGTTTATAAATTTTGAAACTATATACATGATTCTTTATCCAATGAATCATTATAATTTCAGAGTTGCCAACTCTCCCGATTTAGGCGGGAGACTCCCGGTTTTCAGCCAACCCGATTTACAGTATATTTCTCCCGACTTTTTCTTATTCTTAAAATTTCTCACGATTTTTATGGAACTTGGCAAATACTTTGTTATATGAACCAAAAAAAAAAGTGATTTTGGACGTCTGAAAGCAATATTATATTTAAAACAAAACCTTGCGAATCAGATGAGAATTTCTGCTTTGTGAGTGAGAGCATACGTATCCAGAAATGTCGTTCTCTAGTTCTCCAATGGGCATCGAGCTCCACTGCGTGTCATCTGGCATATATCGGCCAATGAGCACAAAGCAAGCTCAAAAGCTGTTAGATGTATGTTCTTTAGTTATTTCGTTCATCTTGTCCTGAGTTGTGTGAGTACACGTGCCTTCGGGAAATAGTTTTAGAAATTATCATCTTTTGTTATGTCTGTGAGAAAGGTTAAATACTCGTGTATGTTTCAAAAATTGTACACAGTTGACTTTCCTTCCGTTATTTCCTCAAGGAAATGTAATAAATTTGCGATGTGTACCGTCTGTCATTGCGATTTTTCGATTTCGCATGGTGGAAGGGTGGATATTCTCAAATATGTGCGTACACAAAAACACAAAGACAACATGAGTTGTTTTGAAAAAAAAAAAAAATTTTTTTTCCTTCGGAAACAAAGGATCGAAAAGTTATTATTGCAGAATGTCTGTTCTCTGCCTTTTTACTGGAGCACAACCTGCCACTGAATGGATCGGATCACGCTGCAGCTTTATTTAGAAAAATGCTTCCCAATAGTGAAATTACTAAGAAATACTCCAGTGCAAGGACCAAAACAGGTGCAATTGTTAAAGAAATGGGTTTGAAAAATAAATCTTTAGTTATTGATTGCATTAAAACAGCTCTGTCCTGCCTCTTCACGAATGGAATCAATAATACCGATTCAAAACTGTATCCAGTTGTTGTTTCTTTTGTCTCCAGAGTCCAGAGTTTGTTGTTTCCAGAGTCTTCAGATATTAAGTGAAGTTTACTTTCTGTCTGCACTTTAGAAGGACATTCAACAGGCTTTAATATAGCATAGCTAATTATTAAAACTTTAAAAGAAAATGCAGTCCCTCTAGATAATTTGCTTAGCACTTGGTGCCGATAATGCACCAGTAATAATAGGCTTGAAAACTGTTGTCGGAGGCATCTTAAGAAAGGAAAATTCAGGTTTTCAGATTATGAGGTGCACCTGTCACTTCTTAAATTTAGCAACTGAAAAAGGGGCAGCTTCTTTACCAATAAATGTGGATAAACACATTGTTGATATTTATTATTATCTTGAAAGGAGTTCTAAAAGGAAGGAAAAATTTAAACAGTTCCAACAGCTGCATAACTAATATTAGTGATGACGCATTAGAAAAACTTTTATTAGCGAAAGCAGGCCTACGTGGCAATTGCTATGAACAAAATTATGAAGTTTCTTTCTTAACAAAAGCAAAATCTGCCACTGTTCATAACATTTGAACGAAAACTGATTAAAGTGTCTTTTTTTTTTTTCCTTAAACGATGCAAGTAATAAAAATGTTTTTTATGTGTAAGGTATTTTTGTGTTGCTTGCATTTAAGAATTAGTAACTATTTAAAGTTAATTCGTTATTAAAAACTATATTTTTATCATTTAAAAAGTCTTTTTAACATGTGAAAAACTCCTGATTCTTAAAAGTCTCCTGATTTTTGAGTGTCATAGGTTGGCAAGTATGTAAACTTGGCATATACTTTGTTATATGACCAAAAAAAAAGTGATTTGGACGTCTGAAAGCAATATTATATTAAAACAAAACCTTGCGAATCAGATGAGAATTTCTGCTTTGTGAGTGAGGCATACGTACCAGAAATGTCGTTCTCTAGTTCTCCAATGGGCATCGAGCTCCACTGCGTGTCATCTGGCATATATCGGCCAATGAGCACAAGTTAGATGTATGTTCTTTAGTTATTTCGTTCATCTTGTCCTGAGTTGTGTGAGTACACGTGCCTTCGGGAAATAGTTTTAGAAATTATCATCTTTTGTTATGTCTGTGAGAAAGGTTAAATACTCGTGTATGTTTCAAAAATTGTACACAGTTGACTTTCCTTCCGTTATTTCCTCAAGGAAATGTAATAAATTTGCGATGTGTACCGTCTGTCATTGCGATTTTTCGATTTCGCATGGTGGAAGGGTGGATATTCTCAAATATGTGCGTACACAAAAACACAAAGACAACATGAGTTGTTTTGAAAAAAAAAAAAAAAATTTTTTTCCTTCGGAAACAAAGGATCGAAAAGTTATTATTGCAGAATGTCTGTTCTCTGCCTTTTTACTGGAGCACAACCTGCCACTGAATGGATCGGATCACGCTGCAGCTTTATTTAGAAAAATGCTTCCCAATAGTGAAATTACTAAGAAATACTCCAGTGCAAGGACCAAAACAGGTGCAATTTGTTAAAGAAATGGGTTTGAAAAATAAATCTTTAGTTATTGATTGCATTAAAACAGCTCTGTCCTGCCTCTTCACGAATGGAATCAATAATACCGATTCAAAACTGTATCCAGTTGTTGTTTCCTTTTGTCTCC